AAAACATAAAAAAAAAAAAAAGCAACAACGAATCAAACATATTACACAGCAGGGCACAGCACAGCCGGAGAATCATATGACGTTCACAGAGCTAAACTCGATCGAATAAACAAACCGATAAATAAAATACCGACCACTAATGATAGTTGTTGGCTCAAAAACACAAGAGAACATATGAGAGAGAACTCTTCCTCCAAACAAACCCAAAATTCTGAGGGCTTTTTCGACTTTTTGGAGACGGATATGCTTTTACCGAGTTTCATCCTCCAAGGCACGGAATCCAGCAGTGAGATCCTCGTACAGTTTCTTGAATTTTGCCACAAGTGTATCCTCCCCTTCTGCTGGGTCTTCGAACTTCTGAGACCTGTTTATTTCCATCATTCACAACTTCCGTTTCAGACACGTTTCACTAGAGCTATTATTTATATAATATATATGAAGAAGTATAGGGTCGCTTACACTAAACGGTAGAAAAGATCTCCCAAGCGGTGCTTGATGAGAGTGTAAGTAATCTTTTGACCGTCCATCCCAGCTGCTCTTTCTACCGCCTGCGTATCCACAAACAACATTCGAGCCCGAGTTATTTTTTTGGCAACCACTCACTTGCTTTATGAACAAACCAATTTGACCACCCACTTCACAAAGACGACAACTGATGAATACTGTAATTTTCATCTTATTTACCTGATTGGCTAGGTTGTAGAAATGGATAATGTTTCGCATCATCCACACCGACTTGTAGAAAGGGCAGAATTTGTCATATCTGTCAAACATTCATACAAAAAGTACAAAAGAGTAAATAACCCATTGACAGAGAAAGAGAGGATAAAAGCAAATCGACAGGAGCCAAATCTTACGGTGTAAACGCGTTTTGAGCGAGGTAGTCTTCCCTTAATAACTTAGCCGTTTCCAAAGTGATTTTGTCACCTTCCGCTAGCGCATCTTTTCCCACAAGCTGCGCACAAAGCGTAATGCACACGTCAAATAAGTTCGTTTCAGAAAGTCAATATCTGATATGAGGATTCCTTCTACAACTTGAGTCAAGGTTATTGGCAAAACATAACTCTAAGCCTTGAGGTCATTAGGATCACTAAGAGACCAGAGTTTGTTACTGACGACATCAAATACTTATATAGTGATAGGCGACATTTACCTGGACAATTTCATTAAGATCGTCTTCCCTCTGCAACACCTCTCTGGCCTTTGTCCTGATGTTTATGAAATCGGGATCGAACTTATCATAGAAAGATTCCAATGCCTGAAAAAACCAAGCAGCTTTTTATATATACAAGAACTTCAAGATAGTAAACCAAGACAGGTTTGAAGAACACCGTGAATATTTAAGCATACCGTCGAATACTTTGAGTAGGAAATTAGCCAATTAACAGACGGAAAATGTTTTCTCTGGGCAAGCTTTTTGTCCAAACCCCAGAAGACCTGCAGAAGAAAAAGAAAAAAAGAATCAAAATAGAAGAGTAAGAACTTCAAAGTAGAGTAAGAACTTCAAAGTAGAGGAAAAAATTATCCTTTCTACGGCAGAACTAATACCAAACACCATTGGTTCATCTCGATCAACATATCTGAATAGTGGATCTGTACAACTACAATACAAGATAGGGAAGCAGCCATAAAACAAACAATCACCTGCACAATACTAAGGGTTGCAGAAGTCACAGGGTCTGAAAAGTCTCCACCAGGAGGTGAAACAGCACCAACAATCGTGACACTTCCATCCCGTTCTGGTCCACCGAGACATTTTACTTTACCAGCACGTTCATAGAAAGACGCTAAACGTGCTGCTAGATAGGCAGGATAACCACTGTCGGCAGGCATTTCAGCCTAGAAAACAAAGAAAAATAGGTGTCAATAAACTGAGAAAAATGAAGACAACACGAAAATCAATACAGCAAAAGTGAGACGCAGAAGTTTACCAGCCGTCCTGAAATTTCTCTCAATGCTTCAGCCCAACGGGAAGTTGAGTCTGCCATCATACTAACATTGTAGCCCATATCTCTAAAATATTCAGCGATAGTGATTCCTGGAGTTCACATTACCAACACAAAAAAAAAAAAAAAAAAAATAGTTGAAGGTCGTAATAAAAAAAGGTTTGTATGTGCACTTAATGATTAGAAGATGGGAGGAAGATGGGAGATGGGCTTCCTCAAAAACTATTAAGCCTACATGCCTGAAAATTACCTGTGTAAATTGAGGCTTCACGTGCAGCCACAGGCATGTTAGAGGTGTTGGCAACAAGTGTAGTACGTTTCATGACAGATTCCTCACGACCATCAGGCAATGTCATTGTCAATTGCGGGAAGTCCATAAGAACCTAATTTATGAGAAACCATGAGACCAAATTTCTGATGTGTTTGACCAAAATGAAAATTCAGAACGAGAAGAGGTATACCTCAGCCATTTCATTTCCTCGCTCTCCACAACCAACGTAAACAACAGCATCGGAGTTGGAGTACTATGTATATAAAAAAAACAAATTAGCTCTGGAAATTCGATATATCCAGTAATTATTTGGAACAAAACCCTAGTGTCAAATCCTACCTTGGAAAGTGCCTGACTGATAACAGTTTTCCCACAGCCAAAAGCACCAGGAATGGCACAGGTTCCACCAAGGACCGAGGGGAAAAGGGCATCAAGGACACGCTGACAACATGAAAAGAAAGCTATCAGCAATAAACGTCCTCGGATGACTATGACTACTGTCAAAAAGATTAATAGAGTAATTCACCTGCCCCGTAAGTAGAGGAGTATCCGCAGCAAGTTTTGATGCAACTGGCCTAGGCGTACGTACAGGCCAGCTCTGACAAATTATCAACCAAACCAATTTTATAAAGTGAACCGAATAGCTTAACCTTTGCGCTTACAAGACGAAAATAAAAGATGCATTAAGACCTGAAGCATGGTGTATGATTTCTTAACGCCCTGGAATTCAAGCTCTACCACTGTGTCCTGGTAAATGAAAAACGCCGTCAGACAACCATAAGCAGAAAGCCAGTCTTTTTATCCAACAGGAAGTGATTACCGATAGATCAAGTTAGCCATATATTAACTCAAACATTGAAGGAAAAGGAAAAGTTATTTATAATCATTTGAGAGAAAGTAAACTCATACGTTAAGGGAATATTGACCAGCTGGAGCAATATAAGTGATCTTTCCCATGGCATCAGGAGGAAGGCCAACATGGTGTGTCATCAGAGTGTTCTCGAAGACGGTCTGCATTCCAAAGTTATGTTTGACTTTAAGAAAAATTTCAGACAAGGGAAACACACGGTAACTGTGTAAAATCGCTTGTCAAGATTAGATAAAGGAGGAAGCAATAAGCTTACAGCATACAAGTCGCCACCAGTTATTGTGTCTCCCTCGGCTGCAACCAAGTCAAATTCAGGTAACATCAAGATTAAGACCATACGAGCACTTTCATAGATAGATACATCAAGTAAAACACATTACCAAATTTATTCGGCTGGAACTCCCAAGGACAATCTTTGTCAAGAGCTGGAACAGACACACCTCGAGGAATGTATACATCACCAGATCTTTTCGCAATAGTCTTCAAAGGCCTCTGTGATATTAAGAGAAATAAAAACCAAAGAATTGTGAGAAGCCACAGACTGCAGTTTGTAATATTATAACAAATCTGACAAGCCCTAAACTTCATGTCTAGCAAGATTCTAAATCCAACTGAACCTGAATTCCATCGAAGATATTTCCCAATATTCCTGGTCCAAGCTCCACAGAAAGAGGCTGCAAATTCAGGACAGAATCTATGTTAGCAGCAGACGAACAACCCTAAAAATGAAAAAAAAAAAAAAAAAAAAAAGAAAACAAGATAGAGATCTCGCGTACCTTGTGCGTTCGAAGAACAGGATCATTAACTGTCAATCCAGCTGTTTCCTCATAAACTGAGAAAAGAGGAAGTTGCCAAATATCAGCTAAGATATCTTACAGAAGACTACATAAATTACAGTAACAAGCACAAGAGAACAACAAACCTTGGATTGTGGCAGAATCTCCTTCAAGACGGATAATTTCTCCGATCAAATTATCATGCCCAACACGCACTAACTCATACATAGCAGCACCGGCCATACCATCGGCGACAACAACGGGACCTGAAACCTGCATCGCAGTACTTGGATATTACCAATCTGATTACGAGAAGAAATGTCAAATCAGTGAGAACTACCAGATCAGGCTAGAAATTCGAATACGAGTTACTGAACCAAGGCGGATTCAACCGATTCAAGGTCTTTGCATAGTAATTAAGATGGGAAGAAAGAGTTCCCACAAAAAAACAAATCTACATCTCCCACCAATCTTACCTAGTAGCAGATCGACTTAATACATATGCATACAATAGATACGCAGAAAAGGATAAACCATATCAGATCGACGAACGGGATAATACCTTGCGAACGTAACCATACTCGCTCTCCTTCTCATCGTCCTCGAAGGTTGTGAGCTTTCCGTAAAACGCCGGCATTTTCACAGCAATCAGAGATTCAAACAAAACTCAAATCCGATCGACCTGGAAAATAAAATTATCCTCCTGGAAAACGCCGAGATCCGATCAAAAACACCAATCAGAAATCGCCAAAACCTCGAATCAAGATCGGAGAACGAGGAGGAAGAAAAATCATGGGGGTTTTGAATCAGAACAATTCGATAAATCAGAAAGAAACAAAAAAATCAGAGAGAGAGATAGAGATCCTAACCAGTGAACAGACAGGAAGAGTGGTCACAAGAAGAGAGGGGAGGCACGTAGATATTGAAAGAGTTGTAAGAGTTTGATCTGATTGACGAAATCGTGGGGCGATCCTGTACATGACCTCACACGCTACGGTTGTAGATCAAGCCCTGTGCCTAAATGCCACGTGGCATATTATTTATGGGCTTTGTGATATTTATTTAAGGCCCAATATGTGGGTCCTAAGTGTTTTTGTGTATTTCCTCCGATTTCGTTAATGCTGGAGAATCTCTCTGATCAAGCCGGGAAAATCATTGTAGATCAGTTTTTTTTCCGGGAAGAACAAAAATTTCTGGTAAAATCTGGGAGTGAATAAAGGAAAGCAAGTTCGAGTGGAGAGAGAGATGGGAGAAGTGGGGAAGGCGATGGGATTGCTGATTAGCGGGACGCTTGTGTATTATCACTGCGTATATCGCAACGCAACTCTTCTCTCTCTCTTCTCCGATGTTCTCATTGTTCTCTTATGCTCCCTCGCCATTCTCGGTCTCCTTTTTCGCCAACTCAATGTATCGTAAGTTCTCTAAGACTTCCCCCAAAATTGGATTTTTCTGCTTCCCGTATTGGGCTTTGGCTCTTTGGTCTCCGATTTGTCGAATTAGGTGGTTGTGTAAGCATTGATACTAATATCTGCGTTTGCGAAATGAATTCGATAGTGAACACTGAAACACTGAACAGGCGTCTTTCTTGTTTGACTTGCTTTGAGTTTCATGCCTTCTCTCTGCCGGTGAAATTGGTTTCTTTTTCTGTAATGGTTTTTCATACACATTCACAAAAACTTCAAAGGCATGGACTGATTAGGTCTCCTTTTATTTTTGGGTGAATCGATAATGATTCTCTGTGATCAATGCATGAGTCATAATGCCAAAAGTTCTCAATGATCCCATAATCTTCTGCTCTCTGATATCTAATCTGTTCCAAGACTCTTGCTTTTTCGGCCACGTGATTTACAAACTCTATAAACTCTCCTCAAGGGTTCCAGTGGATCCACTAAAGTGGCAAATATCACAGGACACAGCAAGTAACATCGTTGCACGCTTAGCTAATACCGTTGGAGCAGCAGAGGCCGTTCTGAGGGTTGCAGCAACAGGACATGACAAGAGGCTTTTTGTCAAGGCAAGTGTCAGTACTTTACCGTCTTTACCCATATAAATGCATTGCTGATTGTTTGACTCATTCATTCATCATTGTGTTCTATAATAAAGATGTTGGTCTGATGCTTTTTCTTTTAGGTCGTAATCTGCCTTTACTTCTTATCAGCTCTCGGACGACTCATAGCAGGTGTAACCGTTGCTTATGCAGGTAAAAGCATCCACATTTCCTCTCAGGCTTGTACCAATTTTCAATTTAATGCAGAAGAGTATGGTGGTACATTGAGTAACATTACTTACCAAATTGTCGGGTTTAATAGGAATTGGCCATGTTCTTTTGGTGGAAGTAAAGCTTGGTGTTCATTTTCTTAAACTTGTGTTAGAGTCTAGGTGTGTAAGTGTTCGGCAAACTAACATAGTTACGGAATACAAATTCTCTCTGTAGGAAACATTAGTAACAAAAGTAAGACACAGTGTTGCATTCATTTGAGAAACCCTCCTTCTTGCTTGTGTCGAATTTTTTTTGCAGACCAATGATTTCTGACTAGTTCTTCTCCCTGAAACAGGACTATGCATGTTCTGCCTCTGCATGCTCTGTCAGAATTCTCAATTTCTTGGAAACTGTGTACTGAAGCGAGCAAACGGCGAGATTTTAGAACAAGAAGCACATATTGATACATAACCTGTCTAGCTTTTGTTTTTTCTTTCTACTTTCTCATGTTCATATCTTCAGAATAGATACCCCTAATGTACACACCACTCGTATACTGCCTGGTGAAAAAATGTAATGATATTGTTTCACCTCCACACCGTATATTTGCATATCTTAAATCTATAAATTTGTTTTGTTTTAACAAGACTTTTGGGGGTCTTTAAGGCATACACTGAACACTGCATTAAACAAAACAGTGTGCAATAAGTGTTAATGGGAACTGAACTAGCGAGATGATGCCCATATATATACATATTAGGAAGATTACATAGAAACACAGCACCTTTTCTTATTCAGTTTGTCAGTCAGAACTCGATAGGATCTCATGTCTGTAAAAGGTTTGCTTACCCGACCCTACCCTATCTAAAAGTCTAAACCATTTCACGTCTTTGTGGCCGCTCTTGGTGATTCGAATCTTCGTTGATCTGTGTTCTTAAAATCTACAAATCTTGAAGAGCCTGCATAGTTTTGATATTCGTTTCATCAGAGGTCAAAGAAATTCATGACTTAAGTATTTAGTCAAATATTATCTCATAATAAAAGAAGACTTTTAAGTTCATTTCTTCTTCAAATATCCCCGAAATGCTCAAGAACTAACTGCTTTCGGCTCGTAAAGTCATGGATAGAAAGTTATATACGATTTGCTGTGATTAGCTCAAAACTTACACAGAAACAGGTTCGACGAGTTTTGTGGTCTAGCCTTCGTCATCCTCAGAGTGAGATGCAGTATTTGAAGCCATGTCCGTCTCCACTAATTGAGGCTGTACACCTATATTTTTTTAAGGAAAAAAATAATCAAACATTAAGAAACATTGTACCAAAAGCACATATTTGACGGTACAAGATGCGATAAGGCACAACATTTGCCTCTAAAGTATGCCAATAAGTACCTCATAGACCATTCTGTTAAAAAAAAAAACAGAGTGGTTGTTCGACAAGAAGCAAAAGGAACATGATAACTAACACAACATTTCGACTTCTCAACAATAATTAAAGGACGAAACATGTTCCATCACGACACTACCTATAAAAGGAACGACTATCTAAGTTGTTATTGAAGGTGGTCACCCATTTCCGTCAGTGATATTTGAACCCGTTCAAAATTTTCAGACGACGACAACTCTAAAACAGAACAGACCAAGCCTTTCTTTTTCAATGTCGTTTTCCATCAAACTCGTTAAGCAATATAATCATCAGAAACGATAAGCCAAGATTGCCTTGGTACATCTAAAAATGCCACAAAACCTATGTAAAAGCCAAAGCTTTTTCATCAAAACAAAATTCAAATGGTATTTAATTATATTTCAAGAATTACGAGCAATCACGACCAAATTTCCATCAGCAAAAAGATCAGACCTTTGATGAAGTAATCAGAGGAAGGCCATCCACGACCAGACGAGATTGAGATGGATTCTTCATCACCGATCGGATTCGCCAGCTTCTCAACGAGCTTTGCGATCCCATGAGTCTGGGATCTAGGCGGTGGGACCCAGTAAGAAGCACCGGGAACAAAAGGGAGCCAATCCGGTGCGGATCGGCGTACTATTATCCGGTGGACGGCGTCCTCTAGCTTCTGAAGGAGAGGATCCGATTGCGACTTCGACGCGGCGGTATCGATCTCGTAGAGCTCACCACGGCGGTTAGCTCGCCGATTCGAGGATTGAGATCGGAAGAAGATGGTTCGAGATGAAGGAAGGAGAGAAGCTCCGGCTAAGCGGCACCTAGAGAGAGAAAGTGAGGGAGAGGAAGATCGAGCCATTTCCAGAGATAGAGGGAAAGGTGTGAGATCAGTTTCCTGTTCGACGAAATTAGGAGAAGACGTAGATCGCTGTCTTAACGGATAAGGGAAAAGAGCACTAACCTTCTTTATCGGAATTCGCTTTTTATTAAAAAAAATCTGAAAATTTACTTTCTTTTTCCGAAAAGGCTGGTCTTTTACAACTGTGCGTATACAAGTCATTTTTTGGATATAAAGATTTAATTCACATGGATACAACGATTTATTTTCCATTCCTTAACATCACATATAGCATTTGACATGTATAAATTTAAATACATCATATATAAATTTGTATACACGATATAAATATTTGCAGCATGCTTATACCATTTTATAACATGAGTAAATCAAACTACAATATAGCTTAGTAAGCATTTCAACATCTTTGATGCAACATATAAACTCGGTTATATTTATGTTATAAATTTTGTGTATTGTGTTTTTTGTTAGCTTTTTTTTTTACAACAGTTTTTGGTTAGCTAAGATATTTTTCTTTAGCCGAAAAAAAAAAAGATATTTTTCTTTAATATGTTGGCTACATTTATTTTAGAGAATGACTCACACTTGTAATAATTACCGTTTACACTTGACAGCCTTACTTTTCACAAGTTATCCCAAAACTCTTGACAGTAAAATTTTGACAAAGACGGGAAAAAAAAAAAAAAATACAGTGTGTTCATCATCTCCTTTTCTTCACCCTCAAGTGTTGTTGTATCAATTAAAAAAAAAAACCTTTAAGCGCTTTGAGAGAGAGAGAAAAAGATTGAGACAACGCACCAACTGTTGCGGCTCAAAGAGATCGAGATCGGGGATCCACACGACGGAGAGTGAGCTAAAGGATATGGGATCTCGGCTACTCGAGTGTTGCTCCCGTTTCATCTTCTACTGTCACTCCCACAACTGCAACTATTTTCCCTAATAGTTTTTCTTTTTTCTCGCCGTTACGCAGGAAACTTCCACCCTCAGGTGGGAATCGATGCCGCCTTTTTTCATTTTCTCAGATTGGATTTTTGTTCTTCTATGATCATTTAGTCCATTTTGGGGATTTAGGTTTTGCTTTAGTTTTGCGTTTTGGTACTGTTTCAATCTCTTTCGTGTTTTTTTTTTTTGTGATTTGAGGATAGTCTGATTTCTACTCTATTGATTTGGATGTATCCATGGGAATTCCAACTTAAGTTGTTTGAATTGAAATGGGACCTGCTTCTAAATCCCAGAGATCTTACTGGGTTTGACATGAATTGATTTGGAAACTGTGATTAGGGTTTTATTTTTTTTCTGGGTTTTCCAACACTGGACACTCAAGTTATGTTTGGTTCCACTGTGGGATTTATGGAAACTATTTAGAGGACTTCGTAGATCTAAAGTAGTAGTATATCCGAAGCTCTCAAAAATCTCGGTGATGCTCGATCTGTCAGATAAGCGGGAAGGTTCTTCGAAAGAGAGAGTGATAACTAGACCCGTAAAATAGTACTGCTGTCATTTGGTTCCAGAGTCCCGTTTTCTCAGCCTTTAGGAATGTATATTGCAGCATATACATCTTAGTACCTATTTTCATTTGTGGGCTTAGAATGTTGAAGCATTTTGATCCATTTTTAACGTGGTGTTTGCCAGAGTTTCGCTCGTCGCACTTCTCTATCTGACCACATCTTCTTCTTTATTATTTCATTACTGTTAAGTCCATAGGTAGAAAGCAGTTGTGTAACTATCTTGCTTGTTTCTCATGGGTTCCTATTTTGTTCCTGCAGGACTTTGAATCCTCTTTCAGCATATTTTCTGTGGTGTTCTGTAACCAGTTTGTGTTTTCCTGAAGAAATCAAATGGGTTCGAGATATGCATCTCACCAGCTCAGCAATGGGCTGTTTGTGTCTGGTAGGCCTGAGCAACCCAAAGAAAAGCCTCCAACAATGAGCTCAGTAGCCATGCCATACACCGGTGGTGATATCAAGAAATCAGGAGAATTGGGGAAGATGTTTGACATTCCGACAGATGGCACAAAGTCAAGGAAGTCTGGCCCAATAACTGGAGCTTCTTCAAGAAGTGGTGGGCAATCAGGTCCGGTGCCTAATGCCACTGGTCGTATGTCTGGGTCTCTAGCTTCTGCTGGCTCGAATTCAATGAAGAAAACAAATTCTGGGCCTTTGTCTAAGCACGGAGAGCCTTTAAAGAAATCCTCTGGTCCGCAATCTGGTGGTGTAACACGGCAAAATTCCGGCCCTATTCCTATACTCCCAACTACAGGTCTCATAACATCTGGGCCAATTACTTCGGGACCTCTGAATTCATCTGGGGCCCCTAGAAAGATATCTGGTCCGCTAGACTATTCTGGTTCGATGAAGACACATATGACATCCGTTGTCCACAACCAGGCGGTAACTACCCTTGGTCCGGAAGATGACTTTTCCTGCATGAAGAGCTTCCCCAAGCCTGTGCTGTGGCTGATTATACTTATATTTGTGATGGGGTTCCTTGCTGGAGGCTTCATTCTTGGAGCAGTTCATAATGCAATTCTCCTCATTGTTGTGGCGGTCTTGTTCACAGTTGTTGCTGCACTTTTCATTTGGAATGTATCTTGTGAAAGACGTGGTATCACAGATTTCATTGCCCGTTATCCTGATGCTGATCTTAGAACTGCCAAAAACGGTCAATACGTGAAGGTCACTGGGGTAAGTATATGAATACTCTCTCAGAAAAAGCTGATTTTGTAATTACTCCTTGCCGCTGGGGAAATTTGATTTATTCTTACTTCCATGGAACTCTTGTCTCTACTATTTTTTTGACATTAGTTCTTGTTTGTTGAAAAGGTGGTCACATGTGGTAACGTGCCGCTTGAGTCATCCTTCCATAGAGTTCCCAGATGTGTTTACACGTCGACTTGTCTCTATGAGTACCGTGGATGGGGTTCGAAGCCAGCCAATGCTTCACATCGCCGCTTCACATGGGGACTGAGATCAGCAGAGGTTAGATGATATTTCGTTTCACAGAAAATTTTGTTTTCCAATGTGTAATGTCTCTAAACTTTTGCATCTACAATACATGGCAGAGGCATGTGGTAGACTTCTACATTTCTGATTTCCAGTCTGGGCTTAGAGCATTGGTCAAAACCGGAAACGGTGCAAAGGTAACACCTATCGTCGATGATTCTGTTGTCATCGATTTTAAGCCAGGAAGTGAGCAAGCATCTCCAGATTTCGTAAGGTGGTTGGGTCAGAAGAATCTATCCAATGATGAACGAGTGATGCGGCTTAAAGAAGGGTATGAAAATTCAACCTGTCGAAAAAAGAGTGATTCAGAAACGTTAACGAGTTGCTAAAAAATATATTGGTCTCTGTGATACTTGTCTCATTTGCAGGTATATCAAAGAAGGAAGCACAGTAAGTGTCATTGGAGTGGTTCAGAGAAACGAAAACGTGTTAATGATAGTCCCAACGACAGAGCCATTAGCTGCTGGTTGGCAATGGAGTAAGTGCACATTCCCTGCAAGTCTTGAAGGGATTGTGTTGAGATGCGAAGATTCATCGAACGTAGACGCAATTCCTGTCTAGTGCAGTTAGTAGTAAGTCTTTCTTCTTCTTCCACGGTTGGTAGACGAAAATCTCACTGTTTCACTTCGGCTTCATTAATATTTTTCATGAAATCTGAAAAGTGTTCTTGGTTGGTGGCTTTTCTCTCTCTACTCTACTGATGATCATTCCTTGGGTTGGTGGTTTTCTGGTAGTGCTCTCTACCTTTAATATTTCTTATTTTTTATATCGAGTTATGATTACATTAGGATGATGACTATGCTGTTGGATGTGGATTACGTTTCTATGACTTAATTTGTGTTATGGTTTGTAATTGTAAAGCTCCTCTAGTTATTCTTTTTCGACCGAACTTGTGTCCTAATGTAATGGCTTTATCTATTTCGTTTGGAATGCAATGGGCATGTTGTTGCAGGCTGAAGTTTAGCCAGATGTGAATTGTGTTTATTATTTTCTAGTTATTGTTATGCATAAAAAAAAAACTAGTTATTAATTCTTCGTCCACCAAAAGTTAGATACAGCAAAGCTACATCTTTCCAACTTATGACAAAATCATCTCATCGCTCGAAAAACAAATGGATAGAACCACAATACATAGTAATTGCAAACTGTTATGTGTTTATCATTATCTAATCAGTACTTTACTTAGACTCACGAGATTTATCAACAGCCTTTTGAATATTGGCGAAATCCGGGATTTGCATAGGTTAGACACAGCAGAGGAGATCTTTTAATTCAACGAAATTTGACGAATTTCAAATACGGGCAGAGTCTTGACCCTATTAGTAATGATACAAGCATTCAGAGAGATTACAGCTCCCTGTGACGAAAACACATTTTTATCATAATGACGGGGACGAACCACCAAAATATAAGCTTTCTTATAACTTTGATCTTGGGATAGATTTCATCAGATGTAATGTTATTTGGATGAAAGAGACCTTTTCACCCTCCAATCCATCATGCCCCGCTTGCGTAAAGACGGGTCCATTCCTTCGCTGCGCACATTGTTCACAGAACAATGTGAGATACCAACACAGGATTTAGAAAGAGAATAAGATTAAAAGGGGCATAGTAACGAGCTAAGTTCAGAGTTCATGGTTTAAATCAAATTACCTGTCTCCACAGCTTCTGCCTCATTACTCTTCCAATGCTTAGCGATGTTCTCAGACAGCGGATCATCAGGGTTTGGTGCACTCAGAAGAGCTTGAATACTTTTATAACACATCAATAGAATAAGAGAGCAGTCATGCCTCAAGAAACATATTGTTTGTAGCAGGAGAGAATCTAATAATCAACTCATGTACCTTAAGAGCACTGTACGTATTTGTAGTGCAGGGCTCCATTTGTCTTTCAGAATATCAAGACAGATTCTTCCGAGCTGTACATGTAAGTGGACAAGTTTAGGAACGTGTGTTTTGTTTTATGACTGTTAAAGCGAAAAACAGAGGAAGCAGACCTTATCAATGTTAGGATGGTATATCTTGGTGAGAAACCTAACCTGTTCCAAAATCAAAACCATTACAAGAGCCCGCGAGTACTGAAGTATAGAAAAAAAATGCAACTCTCTACACAACCCATTTCCATTCAAATCCAATGTCAAAGAACTGAATATAGTATCCTATACGAAAAGAGAAACAATGACTAGAAATGTGACATTACGTTCGGGTCTGTTATAATTCAGCCAGAAGCACCATTCTCAGAGATCATTTGGTGCATTTACAAATATCCCAACAGAAAAATCTACTTAATAACTAGAGTATTATACCTAGCCCTACTTATATTCAAGTCACCACCAGATATCTTTTTTTTTTCTAAACTTACCTTGGGAGCTGCCATAGGGTATTCTTCAGGCAAAAAGAGCTCCAACTTGAAAACTCCTCCTAGAAAATGGAATGAACCAAATGATTGGTGTATATCACTCAGTAAATCAGTTATAACTTTCAAAATGGGAAGACTTTATTCAAGGGAGAAAAAAAGGTACAAGTATCAGCATCGATTAAGCAGCAGCACACGAAAAGAATCAAATGTGATGATAATAAAATCAAGTTTCAAAAGCAAAAAAGCATGTACTGAGAAAGTAAGTTAACTCTTTAATAGACATCGACCAACATCTACGCGTGTGGGCACACTTCCATAAGAAAAAGAGTAGAAATCCCCTTAATAAACCAAGGATGGACATCGCATAACAATTACCTTCATAAGGTGATTGTGTAGGACCAAGAACCATAACGTTGAAATACCGCATATTATCCTCAGATGGAGAGGCGCTTATACCGGGAGCTGCAACAATCAATTGATGAAACTCCGTCAAAATCACTTTTTTAACTTACTCTACAACCAAATTCAAACTCCATGAAAGATCACATTGCGGATCCACAAGTTAACTATCAAAATCAAAATTATCAGCTTAAATCAACATTATAACTCAACAGGACAGAAGAATCAAAATAATTTACCCGGTTCGCTAAGCAGACGTTGAGTTTCCTGTCAGATCGCAATTAAAACAAAAATTAGAAAATAAGTAGAGAACAATGAATACGAGGACAAGATCGAACAGAGATATCAGAATTCGGTGAGTTTTCGCTCAGGCACAGCTAATTCTTTGATTCGTCGGATTCCTCGTCCACATAGACTCCGAGTGAAATCGAGATCGGCGAAATTTGGCAAATGGGTCGAAACGAGGAAAAACAAACCTTGATGATTCTTCGGGGCAAATTACTATTGGCCATTCTCGCGCGCTGCCGATTTCGATCGAAACTAAGAGAGTTAGGGTTTTTGAGAAAGAGAGAGAGAATCCGAACGCCGATAATCGAGAACACTTTAGTCGTCTGTCGAATCTGACGTGCTCCTCGATGATATTAATTCCGATTTCCTTTCTCTGCCTTAAAAATTCTACGCAGGACACAATGAAATAAATTAATACAAGTAGATAAATAGCTATTGTTTATTGCATATTTTCCCGGAACTTTTTGTTTATTACTGGCATAGCGGCATTCCTAAAGTTTTATCTATTTATTAATTTGTCTAATATTTTTGATAATTATATTTATGTCCCGTTCTTTTTTTCTTGGAATGAATTACCGTGTTTTGTTTATTACAGATATATCCCTCTATACTTGTCTAATAAACATTCAATCCTCTACAGCTTACATTCCCTCCCATTTTAGAATTCAATTGTTTGTCAGAGGTTTTTTCATTACAGATAACAAATACTCCCATCAAATTTTCTAATACATATTTACACTTTTTATGAGAACAGCCATTAGTTTTGTTTATTGCAAGTTGTCCTAAATCTTTGTTTATCACCAAAAGTTTCGTTTGTTACACATGTACACCCTCATATACTTTGGTAAGCGTAACCTTGACTGCACTGCACAAAATGCCAATAGTATCATTCACACGACTACACGCCACTGTTTTTTACCATCCCATATATTCTGCATCAGTTTTCTGAATACACTTATACACATGTGGCATGTATGATGTATCACTATCACACATATGATCGCACTGGAATCAGAATCGAAAGCGTACGCATGGGAAGTTGGAAGCTTGCGATTACAGTTCTCGGGCAAGCAACAAAGAATGCAGCCCAGCAACTGGAGCTGAATGATAGATGAAAGCCCATTAGACAAGACTCAAGAGGCTCCTTTATTATAATCGTCACTGGCCTTGTTATAACCAGGCTGAACAATTCTTGTTTTAATTGCGATCACATATGTGGTGACATTCATTATTGTCTTTTGATATGATGCTCAATACAAGTTGGCACATGGACGCAGAAAAATTATCAAACAAAAAAAAAGTTGCCCAAGAAAATAAATATTAAAAAAATTGAGCCGTCGAATAAGACCTGTTCAAGGGGCCCCACACAGCTGACAAGCCGCCGGGTATAGGGACAGACATGAACACCGGATTCCGATTAAATCATAAGCTTTCTCTATCCATTAATGTCCGTTTGTTTTTTGTAAACCACCTTCAAAATTCTTTAGATTCTTTATTAACAAGTGGCAGATTAATTTCACTGACCATTAGTTTATACTTAAGTAACTCATAATTATATACGATAATATAAGGACTACTCCCTCGAATTGCATGTATTTGAATTTCGAATTCTATCATGAGTCGAAAAATAATTCAATCAAATACAAAAAGAGGAGATAATCGACCACGAGCATCTTCCCGGTCGACCATAATTACAAATATAGTGATTGATCGGTCCTACTTCAAACGCGTCATTTATTTCTTTGTGTTCAATACGCAGCCCTCGTATCATTTCGAATTAGTCTTAACTAATCTTTCATGTAGCTGCAAGCAAGAAAAAACTACTATAGTTAAAAACCGACAAAATAAGTATAATAAATATTGACTGGCTTTGCAAATGAAACTTGTCATATTTTCTGTTTTAAATAGGGAATTAATAACAAACTAAACCTTGTTTAAAGTTACTATTCCTCTTCTTCTTTTGTTAGTTCATTTTTGCTGAATTAATTACAACAGATAAATCTTTAAAATCATGCTAATTAAACAATTTAGCTCGACGGATCTTGTTCCATTAGATCTCATTCTCAAATCTCGACCATTGACTGGGGTTTAGCTAATCGAGCACATGTTAGCATTACGGTATAAGATAAGCTCTCTAAAATGTTCAAAACAAACCAGCAAATCAATAAAAAAAAATATATATAGCAAAACAAAGACCAAAAAGTCGTTTAAAATACTCAAAACAATTTGTTGACCAGGACTTCCTTGGCTTCTATAAATGGAACTTCGCTCTGTATACACAAAACACACCACAATCCATAAAGAAGGAAAAAAAATGAATTTCTCAATCACATTAGCTCTCTGCTTCACTCTCTCCGGTTTCTTGATCGGCGCACACGCCAAAGTTCCCCTCGACGAGCAATTCCGAGTGGTCAACGAAGGAGGCTACACAGATTACAGTCCGATCGAATACAATCCCGACGTACGTGGCTTCCAACCTTTCACCGACAACTTCCGACTCTGTTTCTACAACACAACCCCAAACGCATACACTCTCGCTCTCAGAATCGGAAACAGAGCACAAGAATCCACTCTCCGATGGGTCTGGGAAGCTAACAGAGGCTCGCCGGTCAAAGAAAACGCGACGTTGACTTTCGGAGAAGACGGAAACCTCGTTCTCGCCGAAGCCGATGGTCGTCTTGTCTGGCAAACGAACACGGCTAACAAAGGCGCCGTTGGGATCAAAATCTTGGACAATGGCAATATGGTAATATACGATTCCAACGGGAAATTCATATGGCAAAGCTTCGATTCTCCGACCGACACGCTTCTCGTCGGACAATCACTGAAACTCAACGGTCGGAACAAGCTCGTAAGCAGACGGTCTCCATCGGTCAACACAAACGGACCGTACAGTCTCGTGATGGAAGCCAAGAGGCTGGTTTTGTACTACACGACAAACAAAACCCCGAAACCAATCGCTTATTACGAATACGAATTCTTCTCCAAGATCACTCAGTTACAATCTATGACGTTCAAAGCCGTGGAAGATTCTTTCGACACCACGTGGGGTCTTTCCATGGAAGGTGTTGACTCTGGTTCTAAATTCAACGTTTCAACGTTTCTCTCGTCGCCGAAACACAACGCCACGTTGAGTTTTATCCGGTTAGAATCAGACGGAAACGTCAGAGTTTGGAGTTACAGCACGTTAGCGACTGCGACGGCTTGGGACGTGACGTACACGGCATTTACTAACGACGATACTGACGGTAACGACGAGTGTAGAATCCCTGAGCATTGTTTGGAGTTTGGTTTGTGTAAAAAAGGTCAGTGTAACGCTTGTCCTAGCGACAAAGGGCTTCTTGGTTGGGACGAGACTTGCAAAACTCCGAGTCTCGCAAGTTGCGATCCCAAGACTTTTCATTATTTCAAGATCGAAGGAGCTGATAGTTTCATGACTAAGTATAACGGTGGCTCGTCTACCACGGAGAAAGCTTGTGGGGACAAGTGCACGAGAGATTGTAAGTGTTTAGGATTTTTCTACAATAGGAAGAGCTCGAGGTGTTGGTTGGGTTATGAGCTCAAGACATTGACTAGAACCGGAGATTCTTCACTGGTTGCCTACGTCAAGGCTCCTAATGCTAACAAGCCAGTTCTTTGAAGTGTGAAAGTCATATGAAATTACTGTGTTGTGTTTCAATAAGGTAAAATTTCGTTTGTGTCAAAAAAAATTTTCAGGCGACATCGTAATAAATTGACGGAAATTATGTTTACGAATCGAGTTCAGAGACGTGTATTCGGAAATTGATGCTTTGTTGTCAATAACGCACAAGTGGCCACGTGCACGCAATACATATGAATATGATTTTGCTTGTCGAGCAATCATGCAATTGAAAAAAATAAGTATATTAAATGTTTTCGTTACGTAGCTAAAATTCAAAAAGTCCAAGAAGGTATATGTTAGCGAATTTTCTTCAAGAAAACAAATAAGATGCGTGCTACGATGCTTCGACGCCGCGTCACTTAATTCAAAAAATGGTTTTTTTGTTTCCTAAAGATCTGCTCAGTCAACGTTTGTTTTTTTTGTCGACCAAACGTATACTCACAAGTCACAACCCTGCATTATTACACATAAACAGGCATATACTGATATACATAAACATTTGTCGGTAAAATAAAAATATATATAACCTGTAGGTATAGACCCGTCTTTTCTTCTAAATGATGCCGATTGCAACTTCCTATTGCTTTAGTTGATAACATTTGATTAAAAGGAAGTCAGCTTGCAACCTGGCAAGTGGAAGGTATTAGTACTCTTTATATCCATCTTTTTTTTTTCTTGGCGACAACCCTTTATATCCATATAAATTCATTAGCTTATTTAAAAAGCTTATCATTATTATACAAAATTTAATGTCGTTAATTATATCAAATTTATTACGCTGCAGATCAATTTATTAATATTATAACATCCACAACATTTTATCCTATGCTTTACAAAACTAATAGTTATTTTGTTTCCAAGACAAGTATTATTTTTATGTTTTTCCTAAACGTTTTGATACCCATTTTGTATTTGGCTAAGAACCTCAATGGTTTTTAAACACACACACAAAAGATTTGATCAGTCAACGCAAGATATGATCAGTCAGTGGCAGAGCTAGAAATTTTTTTCACTGGAGTCAAATAGAGATATATATGATATTTTTAGTGGGAGCAATGACACAAAGCTTTGAAAAAATACACCAATTTTTTAATTTTATTGGGGGCAAATGACCCCACCCTGATGAATGTGGCTCTGCCACTGTGATCAGTCAACACGATTACTAAACACAAAGAAATCTTAATTTTTTAACTCTGTCTATTCTATACGCTTATATCCTTCTAATTTCTACACGATGCCGATTGCAACTTAATGCGTGTACTAAGGATAACCTAACACCTCAGTACCAAGAAAGCTGTTTATGCGACCATCACAATCAGGCTCACATTACTATTTTTGATGTTTTCCTTTTAAATAACAGATTCAGTCATTCAATATTTATTTCTCCAAATAGTTTTGGTGTTTGGCATTTGCTGAAAGCTGACGTAGTTTTTTTTTTCCCACCTGTTAGCATTTTCTCGGATTTTTTATATTCAAGTTTGGATTTTGTAATATACTAACGGCGGTTTCAGTTTTATCATCTTTCCCATTTGTCAAAAAGGACAGTAAACATTATATTTATTTGAACAATTTCATGAGATTAACTTGAGAAAACAGGATTCAGATAAGAGTATGAAGAAAAAAACCGTGCAAATTATCAAAACTTGATTTGTATTAGAGGAAATATTCGAAAATTCTGAGTAGACAAACCTTATCCAATTCAATAATTCATAAATCAGCCGTCGGCCACTTGTAAAGAACCAATTTCAATGATATGTGTTAGTCAAGTCGCAATTAGCAACTTTGACTTTTCAAACGGATACAGCCAAACGGAACTTATATATAACACTCACACAATCCATCTGCTACAAAATCATCTCACACTCCATTGATTAAAAAAAAAAACAAATCAATCATGTCTCTCTTTGGTATCTTATTATCCTTAACACTTGCTATTGCCACTGTCTCGGCCCAAGTCCCTCCTGAGAAACAGTTCAGAGTCGTAAACGAAGGCGAATTCGGCGAATACATCACCGAGTACGACGCGAGTTACCGATTCATCAACTCACCAAACGCGAGCTTCTTCACATCGCCGTTCCAGCTCTTATTTTACAATACTACCCCTAGCGCCTACGTCTTAGCTCTCCGAGTCGGACTCAGGCGTCAGGAGTCACTCATGCGTTGGATCTGGGACGCAAACCGGAACAACCCCGTCGGAGAAAACTCCACGCTCTCACTCGGCCGCGACGGAAACCTCGTCCTCGCCGAGTCAAACGGACGAGTCAAGTGGCAGACCAACACAGCCAACAAAGGCGTCACCGGATTCCAGATCTTGCCCAACGGCAACATCGTCCTCCACGACAAAAACGGAAAGTTTATTTGGCAGAGTTTCGATCACCCCACCGACACACTCCTCACCGGCCAATCACTCAAAGTTAACGGCGTTAACAAACTCGTTAGCCGCAAATCCGATATGGACGGCTCAGATGGTCCCTACAGTATGGTTCTGGATAACAAAGGCTTAACCATGTACGTCAATAAAACCGGTCAGCCGTTAGTTTACGGCGGATGGCCAAATCACGATTTCCGCGGCACCGTCACTTTCGCCGTTACAAGGGAATTCGACAATTTAACGGAGCCGTCAGCTTACGAGCTCCTCCTTGAACCCGCACCACAATCGAATAACCGCCGGTTACTCCAAACCCGACCGATCGGAAACGGAGGCGGAACTTTGAACCTGAACAAAATCAACTACAACGGAACGATTTCGTATCTCAGGCTCGGATCTGACGGGAGCCTCAAGGCCTACTCGTGGTACGCTCCCTCTACGTATCTCGCTTGGGAAGAGAGCTTCTCCTTCTTCTCCACTTACTTCGTTCGCCAATGCGGCTTACCGTCGTTTTGCGGCGATTACGGTTACTGCGATCGCGGGATGTGCATCGCGTGCCCTACACCGAAAGGATTGATCGGATGGAGCGATCAATGCTCTGCGCCCAAAACGACGCAGTTTTGCAAGGGTAAAACCGTGAATTATTATAAGATCGTCGGCGTTGAGCATTTTACTGGGCCGTATGTGAATGATGGACAAGGCCCAACTTCTGTAAACGATTGCAAGGCCAAGTGCGATCGTGATTGCAAGTGTTTGGGTTACTTCTACAAGGAGAAGGACAAGAAGTGTTTGATCGCTCCTCTTCTCGGTACACTCATCAAAGACGCCAACACTTCTTCTGTTGCTTACATCAAATATTAATGTCTTTTACTCGAGAGTTATTTACCGAACCCCGATGTCAATTCTTAAGATTTTAATGAATAATCGGTGTCCTTGTTATGATTCACCGTTCAATAAATGTATTTTCTTTTTTTTTCCATAGTTTCAAAGCATTTGGCTTTATTTACAATGTATATTTATTGATAATCAAAGTTCTATGTGATTAATTAGTTTTGAACATCGATGCCATTATTTAAGAGTTGTGATTGGAGAGTTTGTCAAGTCCTGTTTCAAACAATTAAGAGCTTTGTCTAGGCTTAAGGATAGCTGATTGATGCGCTCCAACGCTAAAGGATCTGTGACCTGAATCATGAAAAAGTTCAATCGGAATACTTCACAAGTAACAGTAGGGTTCTTTGACCAAGTTGTAGAATTGATAATGAATGTGTTTTTTATTCAAATAACTTGTCAACTTTAAAAACTTTAATTGTCATGGTAAATTCAAGGGCTGCAAATCTTTCAATACCTACATCTAGCTATTGTTCAAGTATGCTATACATGAATGTGTACCAAGTGCTGCTGCAAGTATTCGTCCATAAATTATCGTCTCAAGAACTTGCTAGCCATGTTATCCTTTCTTACTTAGGCATGGCATCTATTCGAACTGGAACAAACTCTATACTCTAGCCATATGGGGAATACATTATTGAAAATACTTTTAAAAAACATTTTAGCGACAGATTGTTTTTTACTTTCTTCAGCATTTCTTTGATATTCTCGAGCTAAAATAGAATCACAGCGTATCCGGTTTCTCCGTGATGTTTGATACTCGTTCCCATTATAGATCATAACCTCTCGAATCGATTATATATTCGTATGGACAACCTAAAATTCAATAATTTCGGTGTCGTTGATATAATGTCTGCATTTATTAGAGCACATGTAGTATTTCATACACATGTCTACGCAGAGGAATAGTATACAAACGCGTGTACGTAAATTGAAAACGTAAAGCCCTTTCCTAGCTAGGAGCCAAGAACGCATTGACTTGTCCCATTATCTATCAATTAACAAATCTAGCTATAATTATTTCCTTAAAATCTAATTTTTATCCAGTGTCCAAAATTATTATATATTAAAAATCTAATTAGTAACACACATACAGAAAGTTCCTGAATATTTTTTGTATTGTTTAGCAATAATAAGACAATAGAAAACCAAAAATTCAGCTTAGTAAAATATCGGAAACTCCAACAGTTTATCTTATCTAAAACGAATCACCGTCACTTTGACCAAAAGAAAAAAAATCGAATCACCGTCACTAACTCACTACTTCTCGAGCGCCAATTTCCTTGAACACAAGCCAAGTTGCAGTTTAAAACTTTTTTGACTTTTCAAACGAAGACGGCCAACGTTAGAAATAAAACATATATATATACCGGGCCTACAGCCCAATAGCAACAGACAGTTGCTCCAGTCTAGGCCCAGTATAAGTGGCTTCGGGACAATTCACCTTAACAAAGTCAATTACAACGCAACGATGTCGTATTTAAGACTTGGACAAAACACCTTAAAGGCATCTCGGATTACGATCCCGCCACATATCAAGTGTGAGAAAAAGTCTATCTTTCTCCTTCTTCTCGCGATATTTCTTCGTTCGTCAGTGTTGGCTTGCCGAGTCATCGCGGATATTTCGGCTACTGCGACGATGGGATGTGGGCCGCGTTGCCGAGCCCCAACGGATTTGCTTGGATGGAGTCGAACTAGCTCGCCGCTTAAAAACGACTCAATTTTGTGGAAACAAGGGTAAAACCGTAAATGATTATAATATTGTAAGCGTGGAGCATTTTACTGGGCCGTATGTTGACAGTGGACAAAGCACTTCGGTGAGCGATTGCTAGGCCAAGTGTGATCGAGTTTGCCAGTGTTTGGGCTTTTTCTACGAAGAGAAGGAGATTGCAATTGTTTGACTCATCAGAGAAGTCAACACTTCCATTGGTTACATCAAGTATTAAGAGTTCTCACGACATTCATCAGCACTATATATAGCTTAATGAATTAGTCAACCAGCAATTCATGTTCCACTATAAAATCAAGCTATATATATTACCACATAATCTAATTTTGTTTTTATTTTCCAACCATACATAAGTAGTATACTCCTTGTTTAAGTCGATTCAATTATATAATGTTTTCCTTTCTTACAATATGCAGTTAATGCTTCCATTTGCATTTCATATTTTCTTTTCGTTAATGATTTGATTTGATTGCCGTGGGACCCTTTTCTATGCATACGACTGATTGCTCAGTTTTTTTTTGGACTTATATTGTATAACTGTAGGACCAAAAAAAAAATCATAAAATGAATTTAGAAGGATCAAAACCTAGGCGAGTAGGTAGTATTAGATTTTATTATAAAATAAGGGAATCCACAAAAAGCTATGCTATCTTTAAAAGAAAAACTATTCAGGTGAAGTAACTGTTAATGGGGACATTCACCTTGTTTAATACTCCTTAGTAATTTTCTAACAATGATTGGTCAGTGCCTCACAGCCTCAGTGGCAGCTAAATAAAACTCCTTAAAATTGTTAATTTGATAAAATCGGAAACAAATTCTGTAGTCAGTAAACTAATTAAGTAAATGGAAGCGTCCATTGCGGAATCTTTGGGACTGGGACCTCCATAGATTTTATCTGTCTCGCTCTTATTTGAGAGATCCGTGTATTTGTAAAATATTAAAATTAAAGAGCCGTTTGGGAATTGGGCGTAAAGCAATGTCCATTAGGCGTTATTTATGGGCCTATTTCATAGATCCACCGATATCCATTTTTTTCTAAATGGTTTTTTCTTTTTCTTTCTAACATGCATGTTTAAGACTTTAAGTAACCCTTGCAGAAAAAAAGAAAATTATTGTTTTGCTACGGCCTACGGGATTACGTGAATATACTGATATTTCTAATTGAACCATATATTTTAAAAATTTATGCGTAAAGAAAAAACAGTGTATAAAGGTATATGTGTGGAATGGAAACCCTTTAGTACAATAGTTGATACAGGTTCATTAATATTTTACACCAAGATATTTGAATTTTGAATCTCTGAAAGTGTTATTTATCATCATTTATGCAGATTAATAGAGATTACATGAAATCTTTAGTATAGTGCAAATAAAATCTGTTTGAGATAGATTATCAGAAAACGATAGAATTATCTATTATAGAATTGTATAAATCATATATAACAATTCTAGTGATTTGTAATAAAATAATAATTCAGTGTTACAAAAAGGTATATGTATCCTTTCCAGTTTTCATTTGTTACATATAATAGGGCGGCAATATTCGATTGATGACAATGATTGCTAAGCTGAATGGAAACATAATTATAATCTTAATGGCAGCAAATATATAGATAAAGTAAATAGTTAACAATACTTAAATGCTAATCGTACATATTAAAGGTTGAGAAAATAATTTGATTGGTCTACCGATGGAAAAGGAAAGAACTAAAGCATTCTCATGGGTCCCATCTCCTGTCTCCCTCATCTATCACTTAACCTGAAAACTCCAAAGATCATCTACATAATTTGCATTTAACTTAGTTAATTATATATACATCTACGTTTTATGTTTGTTTGGTCTGAAATAATAGCACTATAGCAGTCACTTTATGTTTAACTACAAACGAGCTTACTAATTAAAAAAATGAATTCTTCGAGGTTGATTATTTATAGAACACTAGATTTTGCTGACAAAAAAATAGTGTAGAAAAAAGTACATTAGCAGCAAAAAAAAAAGTATAGAACTCTAGCTTTTTAGTCTTTTTACCCCTTGATGATTTGATGCTACGTGTGTATCTATATATATATTCCCATCAAATAATTTACGCAAGAATATAATAAGATTATTTCTAATTAGTGTAGAAATTTTCTAAAGTTTTCCCCCACTATCATTGATATAGTTTCTCTAAATTCCTCTTTTTCTTCTCCTAAGACCCCCATATACTAAAAAAGAAAAAACTACAAAAATAAAGTCTTGTGAATCATCTCTACTAGCCATGTAGTGATCATCATCGATCGTGAGATTAACAAGAGCCAATCAAAGCCATGGATAGTCCTAGCAACAAAGGCAAAGGCATAGCAGAAGGATCTTCGTCTCAATCGCAACCGCAACCACAATCACCTCCTAACCCGCCAGCTTTAAGCCGGTACGAGTCACAGAAACGGCGAGACTGGAACACGTTTTGCCAATACCTTCGTAACCAGCAGCCACCAGTTCACATCTCACAGTGCGGTTCGAACCACATCCTAGATTTCCTCCAATATCTTGACCAATTCGGAAAGACAAAGGTCCATGTCCATGGATGCGTTTTCTTCGGACAAGTTGAGCCGGCTGGACAGTGTAACTGTCCTCTAAAACAAGCGTGGGGGAGTTTAGATGCTTTGATCGGACGGCTCAGAGCGGCTTACGAGGAGAACGGAGGGTTGCCGGAGAGAAACCCTTTTGCCGGCGGAGGTATTAGGGTTTTTCTTAGGGAAGTGAGAGATTCACAGGCGAAGGCAAGAGGAGTTCCGTACAAGAAAAGGAAGAAGAAGAAGAAAAGGAATCCTATGAAGAGTCATGATGCTGAAGATGGTACTACGGGGACTAGTAGCTCCAACTTGCCATCTTAGCAAGCAATTAAAAAAAACATATAATAAAACAAATGTGCGATTAATTAATGGTAAGCATTTATTTCTCTCTATGTTAATTTTCAATTAATAACCACGTCTATGATCTATCTGCAATTCTACATATGTATTTGGAATAGATATCGATAGTAAGATCTTGTTGCAACTTAACTTACTTTTATACATACGCCAAACTTATGATTAAAGCTTAAGTTAAGATCATATGTATTAACATGTGATCTTAGCAAAAGAGGATAATCTGTACTATGCTAATAGTAATCAGAAATACGATATATTATAAATACTTAATGATGTAATTAGATCTTGATCTAAGATCATTTCATATTGTAAAATATGTGATTGATGATACTTATAATCACTTTGTTAACGATACATATGCGAGTTTTATATATGCCGAATTGTGACGTATCACGTATGTTCTGTTCACTTTGTTAGCCCTAGAGAGTAGAGATACACACGCGCGCGGGAAAACCCTAGTTTCGGCTTAGCTAGTATAAGTGTGTATTTATGAATGATGTAAACACATCGGTTGCAGTAACCTGATAATCAAATGAAATACATTATCTATAGATTATAGAATTTATTACTTGTTCTTGGTAAATTACTTTTTTGCGGTGTGTTTCTTTGTTTGATCTTAAATGTGTGAGTTTGCTTATTAAGAACATATATATAAACGCGAAAAATGGTGAAATTGCTTCTTCCTTTTTCCTTCTTATATTTAAAATCACGTATCAATTCAATATGTTATGATTTGTAGAGTTATATATATATATATATATATTTTTATATATCATAATTTATTACTTTTAATCGTGTATTTCTGACAGCGGTTTAGGCTATGCCCTTAAAACATGTGTTTAAGCTACTGTTATGCAGTTGTGATCAAGAAAAAAAAGCAATAATAGATTAAGCCCACCCCGATGGGCGATGGCGTTTCGATTTTTCCTTAAGATTGAAAAAAGTAGGTCCACTATTTGTATTATTTTAACATGTAAACGCAAATGTAAAATTAGTTTGTATGTCTAGAAAAATTATATTCATTGGAGTAATCATATTTTAACATTTAAACGCAAATGTATCACATTATATGTGGACTTCTCATTTGATCAGATTGGTGAAATAGAAACGGGAATGGACTTGATGCGTATTCCTTTTTGTTCGAGTATGTTGATTAAGGATATATATAGAGCGAGACTGAAATATCAAACATATTACGTAATTATCTTCGGTGTTAATTAGTTACTTTAGCTAGACTAGGGAGTCTAAATGTAAGAACTAAACGATCTCTCAAAAACTAGTTTTAATCACTTGTGATCGTATTGGACATGAGGGTATATTAGTTTTAGGACCAATCTCCAAGATAAAAATAACGCTTAGTCTCTTACGCATATAGCGAGTACATTGCTGGATTGTTGAGTTGTATTTTGCCTAATTTAATCCCAGTTAGAGAGAAGCTAGGTTTGAAACCAAAACTCGGAAGTGTTACTACCTAAAGTTGATTCTTTATGGTCCTCAGTGCATTGAGCATATGTTTTATGTTTTTGAGTTACCGGATTTTTGCAGTATGAACTTGTAATAAAATAAGCCGCAACAAAAGAAATCGAGCATTTATATATATATATGCCATTGTCATTCAATATTATGACAAAGTACAGACGAATTTACAGTATAAAAAAAAGTAATATCCGCAGTCCGCACTGTCCGTGACAACAAAACATATATATAGCAACAAAATTTACCAAATATATTCAGCAATAGAACTTTTGAAATCCTGGACTGCTTAAACAACCCTTTTCAACAAGTTTAGGAAGCTCTCCACAAAGATAAGCAACTAAGCCACGAAGCTATATGTAGTTTTGCATGATTGAGGACATCGGTGAAAAACCAATGTAAGTTACGATTTTTGCCTGTTGAAACTAATGAATAGTTTTTGCGATCATTACTTCTTCGCTCTCTTTACTCAGAACCCATTTTGGAACCTGACTTTGAAATTATTAAATCCATCGTGAAGAGTTACGAATTTAAAAATTCAACTTGAGATTTGGGATTAGAGAATTGATAATTGTCAAACTTTTGTTCGATGCGTGTGTCGACAAGGAAAGTTCCGTGACAGGCTCTCTTTAATTTCTGTGAGTCAACTCTAATTCCGTCAATCTCCAGATCTTGTCTTATCTGCTCCTTCGTCGGTTTCTTACTAATCAAAAGCATGTCCTTGAAAAAACTTATCAATTCTTTTTCAAGAACAAAGACGACAACATCTTCCAGATCTCACAGCGATTTCTCTTTAAAGAACGGGGGATTAATGGTGGAAGAACTGATCCGGATTTCAAACGGAGATTACAATCCTTTTTGTATATTCTCAGCTCGTGAGCTAGAGCAAGCAACCAATGACTATGATCAAGATCTTGTCTTACCTCTTGACACCAACTACAGATTGTTTCAGGGAGTTCTTGAAAACAGGGGTACGGTGTTAATCAAGAAGATGATAGAGAAAGAGATCCAAGATGATGGCGAGCACTTTCTGGATTATTGCCTAAAGGGAAATCGCAATTTCAGCATACGTCAGCGCGAATAGTAACCTGGTAAAGCTCCTGGGCTGTTGCTTAGAGACCAAGGTACCAATGCTTGTCTTTGAATACGTACCAGAGAACCTCTCTACCTACTTGCAGGGAGAGAAAGTGACTCTGCCATGGCGATATCGGATTCGTATCGCTGCTCAGGTCGCGGCTGCGATTGTCTATCTCCATGTCGGGAAATCTAGACCTCTGATTCACAGACACGTGAAGATAAGTAACATTTTACTGGACGCTAACTTAAACGCCAAGCTATTTGATTTCGGACTATCCCTAGAAATTCCATCAGGTGAGACCTATGTAGAAGCATTGGTTGAAGGAACAATAGGGTTCATAGCTCCAGAATCAGTATATACATGCAAATTCAACGAGAAGACAGATGTTTTTGCATTTGGTGCTACGTTTATCGAGATTCTAACTGGAAGAGAGCCTGTTGATGTGTTCATTGAAGCCTCTGGTGACCAGTTAATTCCTAACCTTACTCCAGTTGCAAAGTCTTCTCTCATGTCTGTCTCTTTACCCACAAAAAGAGAGCTTTTGCTGTTCTTGAAGGCGAATCTTATAAAGGATGGGACGCAAAATGCTTTAAAGTCAAGCGCAGAGCTCGCTGCAAGCTGTGTGGATGTATTGCCAGCGAGGAGGCCAACGATTGAAGAAGTGGCTAAGGAGCTGAGAAAGATTCAGAACATGTAAAATAGACATACTTCCAGTAAAATGTCACTTGTCTTCACGATATATTACTCTATCTACTGAATATGTTATCTATCTTTAAGCTTTTCTTCAGTAGACGATATATAACTCTATCTCGCTGCTGTGATCTTCTTTTGGAAAACATCGACAGATCTCCATCTCAATGTTCTCCAGGGTTGAAAGTTGGAGATTCATTTGTTAAATAATAACAGAAAATGGGCAAAAAATATTACAGATGGAAAAGTTTAGGGTTTAACTTGTTTAAAACAAACAGTGTGGTGCATAATAATACAAAGTGAAAGTTCAGGGTTTAACTTGTTCAAACACACAGGTTTGGGGTGGAAATATTAAAAAGTTGAAGTGTAAGGTTTAGCTTGTTAAACAATAGAGAAGGGTTTAAAAAGATATAAAGTAAAAGTTTAGGCGTCAAAATGCAGTAATTGGTAAATTGTTGCGAGAAAGAGAGAGACTTTACACATGAAAAGTAAACCAAGACAAAAACGGAACGCAGCGCTGGAAAATCTCGTCTTTTTGGTGAAAACGGAAACAAAGTATGAACCTTCACAACGATGAATCTCTGAAGCAGGAAGTAATCTACCTTCACTCACTCTGGCACCAAGGTCCTCCTACTCGGAACCCGATCCCTAGCCCTAGATACAACCCGTTTCACGACCCGGTTCAAAGATCCAGGCCGAATTACATCCCGCCGGCGGATTTGCAGCTTCTCTCTCGCTATGGAGCCGTTGGTCCCCAGATCATATCTAGAAACCCTATTCATCCTCAATTTCTCCACAATAATAAGCGTCCAAGGCCCGATTCGGATCGGGAATGGCCCGTTAAGGAACTGCTCGGTTCTTCTCCTCATTCCGGTTCTAGATGGCCTGATTTCAAGCCGTGTAAAAAGGCGCGACCTGTTTCAGAGGAGGAGAAGGCGAAATTCGCTGTAAATCAGCTTCAGAGAGATATCCATCGCACCTGTCGCGAGTTCTTCGGCAGAACATCCGGCGAAGAAGGCGGAGATGGATCGGATACTGATGATGGAGACGAGGATCAGTCTTCGGAGAAAGAAGGGTCTTCTTCCAAGGAGTTTCAGTTTCTTTCGAGATTGTTCGAAGAGAACGGGAAGCTGAAGGAATACTATGAGAAGAACACGGGGAATGGAGAATTCTGGTGTCTGGTTTGTGGCGGAACTGGAGAGAAAAGTTGTCGGAAATTCAAGAGCTGTTTGGCTTTAATTCAGCATTCACTTGCTATTCACAAGACGGATTTGAAAAACCAGCATAGGGCTCTCGCACAGGTTATCTGCAATGTTCTTGGCTGGGACGTTGACAATCCAGTTGCTTCGAGCCAAAAGGACGCTCAGGTCAGGTTTATTCTTTATGGATGGATACATTGAAAGAAGTTAGCATTGCAAACTGTTGCATTGATTTGGTTGCGTGAATCTAACTAAGGGCCGCATCATAGCCTGATTATTATTAGATTACTATGGTCGAAGACTGGCTTATCAGTTTCTTATGTTGTTGTGAGGAAAGGTTTTTATCTGAATTATTGATGAAAGATGATTTTGCTGGATCATTATGATCTTTTGCAGCTTTTTGGATAGTTTTGATCATTCAAAAATACTTTTTTTTTCTTTCATCACAGATATTGGGGGTAGAGGCGGTTGCGGAAGGTGCAACTGAGCCGCCTTCAGACCAAAAGAAGCCTCAGGAGAAACAACATGTAATGTCGGTTGATGAACAAGCAAAGACTGCAGTGTTACAAATGCAACAGAATGCATCAGATGCTTTGAAAGGCATTTTTGCCAAGGATACTACTGCTGGTTCAGTTGATGAATTTGCGGAGAAGGGTGTTGAAAATTTATCTGAGGAGTTGGAATTAATATCTCGACTCTTCTCGGAGAACGTTGAGCTCAAAAGTTACTACGAGAAAAACTGTGAAGGTGGACTCTTTGTCTGTCTTGTGTGTTGTGCTGCGACTGATAAGAAGATGATAAAGAGGTTCAAACACTGTTATGGACTTGTTCTGCATTCCACTAAAAACCCGAAAATGAATAAACGAGCTCACAAGGCTTTTGCTCGGTTTGTCTGTGAACTACTTGGCTGGGAGTTTGATCGTCTTCCACGTAGAGCAGTGAAAGGTGGTGCTCCTCTTGTCGAATGTAATGCTAACCAGGAAAATGAGAAGAAGCCATCATCGATGATCGAGGTAAGAATGTTTACAAAGAGAACAAGAACTCTTTCTTAATTCTTATCTTTTGATTCCATCAATTTAACTGTGGTATCATTTCAGGAGCATATGTGCGAAGACAAATCTGATAATCCACAGGACAACAATGAGGCATGCGTTGGTTAGTAAGTGGTACTTATACATCGTACTTGATCTTGAAATTTTGGTTAGAATGCTCCACATTTTTTTATATATAGAATCTTTTCTCCTTTTTGCTTTCAGATATTTATCTGGTTTATTTATTGTTTATGTTTGATCAATGAACCATTGTTTATGTTTCTGTACGCAGGATGCTAGCATAACCTGTAACAAAGTTATGTAAATGGAGGCACCGAATCTTCAGGTAAGATTACTATCCTAGTTTTCGACTTCTCATCAGTCTTCTTATGATTTGCCAGAACCTGGTGCAGAGTCATCAAAGACAATGTGTAATACCCTACTTTTGATTCTGAATTTTCATAAAAATTAAGAATACTCCTCTTTCTCACTGAGAAATTTTGGAGTATTCTAACCAATATTTCAAGATTAAAATTTGAGAGATGTTGAGGAGAAAATGTTGTAAGACATTGATTTAAATCAACTATCTTATTATATAAAGGCTAATATATACGGCAGTTCTGAAAATACCAAAGATCTGGGGCAGTTTCAAAAAATACCATTACTTTTGTTTTTTTTTCGTTTTTTTCGTTTTTTTTCAGCAACAATAATATGAGGCGTTTTTTATACAAGACTTGGGGCAGTTTATGAATACCGAAATATATGGGGTGATGTTGGTAAACGCAAAAAGATCTGGGGCTTGCTTTCAAAATACCAAAAGTTTTTGTAAATACTTTTTTTTTTTTTTTTTGTCGACAAGTTTTTGTAAATACTTAACAAAAGATCTAAGGCGTTCAGAAAATATCAATAGATTGGAGCTGTTTTGTAAATATGTAATGAAAATAAAATATAGCTGAGGTTAACGGCGTGATAGTTAAAAAAAAAGAGAGAAAAATTAATTTCCTGCTGGGCCTTTCTGGGCCGACTAGATGGGCCTCGAGCATCCCATATGATAGCCCACAAATTGTTTCTACCAATTTTAATCAGTCGGGTCAAATATTTTTTACACCTCTAACTTTCAGGAAGACGCAAACAGAAAAACAGAGCCACAGTGACTTAAAATGGGGAGAAAAGAAGATTCAAAGATGAACATCGCCATTGTACATCCAGATCTTGGAATTGGTACGTTCTTCATCAATCCTTCGTCTTTTTTATTTAACCCGATTAACTTTCGTTTCTCCTTCTCGCGGGATCTATCTTGTTTCCGAGGACATATGACCAAATTCACCGAATAAATGCATCTCAGAGATCCAGAGCGAGTTTTACACTAGTGCGTTGAATTGCCCCTTATTTCTTCTTCTCTGGTATATGCAGGTGGAGCAGAGAGATTGATTGTCGATGCGGCGGTTGAGCTTGCGTCGCACGGTCATAAAGTTCATGTCTTCACCTCTCACCACGACAAATCTCGATGCTTCGAGGAAACTCTCTCCGGTGAGTGACGGCATAGCTTGAGTTTCAGGAAACAGAAACACAAGAGAGCTTTTTCTTTACATTCTCATGTTTGCCTTGAAAGAACTACCTACAGAGGGTTTAAGATTACTGGCTCTCAATTTCCCATTTCGTATTTAGGATATTCTTCGAATTTGTGAGCATTATATAATTATAGTTCGAGATTAATAATCTCTGTCTTACCATTCATTCAGGCATTTTTCAAGTTACGGTGTATGGCTCTTTCCTGCCACGGCATATTTTCTACCGTCTACACGCAGTGTGTGCATACTTGAGGTGCTTGTTTGTTGCTCTTTGCGTTCTTCTGGGATGGTCTTCTTTCGATGTAATACTAGCAGACCAGGTTTCAGTCGTTGTCCCATTGCTGAAACTCAAAAAATCATCAAAGGTATTCAAACTTTTCCTTTACGTCATCATATCTTGTGATCAGTTCATATGATAGCTTAATCTCTCAACATATTCGGATCTAGGTTGTTTTCTACTGCCATTTCCCGGATCTCTTGTTAGCTAAGCATACAACTGCACTTAGGAGGGTGTATCGGAAACCCATTGACTTTATCGAAGAACAAACCACAGGTTTGGTTCCATTCATTAACAATCCAGCCTTTGCTATTTGTCATTTCCTCTTACTTTCATCCACCTGGAACCATTTCTTCTTATATCATTTGCGGGCTTGCAGGAATGGCTGATATGATCCTTGTTAACAGCAGCTTCACAGCATCAACATTCGCAAATACATTTAAGCGTCTTCATGCACGAGGAAGTCGCCCAGCTGTTCTTTACCCAGCTGTCAATATCGATCAGTTCAATGAACCCCATGCTTATAAGTATTGTATATCCCTAAACTCCAAATTTCCAGGATAAAAGCTTAAGCTCTCACATTACAAACTACTTCTATGCCGGTTTCTATAGTTTCTTCTCTTCTCCTTTGTCTTGGCTAGGTTGAATTTCCTCTCCATAAACCGCTTTGAGAGGAAAAAGAACATCGATCTAGCTATCTCAGCTTTTGCTATTCTGTGCAAACATAAGCAAAATCTGAGTGATGTTACCCTTACCGTTGCAGGCAAGTGTACTGCTATTATCCCTCTTTCTTTCATAATTTAATACTGAATGTAGAAGATTTACTGTTTGCATTCTAAGTAAACTCCATTGTTCAGGCGGATATGACGAAAGATTGAAAGAGAATGTAGAGTACTTGGAGGAGCTCAAAAGCTTAGCCGAGAAAGAAGGAGTTTCTGATCGAGTAAACTTCATCACATCTTGTTCAACTGGTGAAAGAAATGAACTTCTCTCAAGCTGCTTGTGCGTCCTCTACACACCAACGGTAAAGCCACCATCTTTTACCTTCTTCCTCCAAGTTTCAGTCTCATCTCATTCTCATGGTCCATTTCAAATGCTAGGATGAACATTTTGGTATTGTTCCATTAGAAGCTATGGGTGCATTCAAACCCGTGATAGCCTGTAACAGCGGTGGCCCCGTGGAGACAGTAAAGAATGGAGTAACGGGCTATCTGTGTGAACCGACTCCAGAAGATTTCAGTTCGGCGATGGCTAGATTCATTGAGAATCCTGAGTTGGCGAATAGAATGGGAACTGAAGCCAGGAAACATGTTGTTGAATCATTCTCTGTGAAGACGTTTGGACACAAGTTGAATCAGTATCTCGTTGAAGTAGTATCGAGTCCTAAAGAAGATTGAGATTCCTCGTAATCATAGATCTTTCGATTTACATTATACTTAAGGCTTAGTTTTGAAACTACAAGATCATGGTGTTATTTTGGGTAATTTTACCCTACCCGATCCGAACTCAAAATGTACCCACCCATTATAAACCTATTTCAATTAACTCTATTGAGTTTTATTACCCTATAATATAACCCGAAATAAACCTATGAGTTTAGGGTTACCCGTAGGTACCCTAATTTTTTTTCTTTGTTTTTTTTATCTTGCTCTAGTGATTCCATGTTTATAATTATAGCTTATACCTTATAAAAATCCTTTAATTCTTCTATTGAACAATGTTTTGCTTGATCCAAAGAGATCAAAATAATATATATGAACTATGTTCCTGTTGCTCTTAGGAGATAAGTAATTGAATTATATAATTATGTTCTTTTGCAATTCACATCTTGAGAAATTATATTAGTGCTCTGGTTAATTAGTTCTACGTATGAGTTTTCTGCAATTCATTAATCTGTGATAACAAATAAATATCTCACCACAAAAATCATCCAAATATCAAAAACTAATAAAGATATTACCACAAAATCATCCAAATATCAAAAACTAATAAAGATCTCACCACAAAAATCATCCAAATATCAAAAACTAATAAAGATCTCACATGTCTTCATCTTGAAATGAAATCTGATAGCATAATTTTTACTCATGAGCTACTTGCTGTGGTAGTATCTTCATTTTCATCATCAAAGTTATCTTCAATATCACCTAAAATTGAAGATATGAATGAGTTAATAATATATTTAAAAGTAACGAATGTATAAGCTAATTTTGAGTTATCTTCAAGCTCTGCAAAACCACGCAACCAATTGCGCGTGCAAATCAATGTCTGGACATTTTTTGGAATAAAGCGGTTTCTATATGGGTTCAATACCCGACCTCCAGTACTAAACGCAGACTCCGAAGCTACTGTAGTAATGGGAATACTAAGCAAATCACTAGCTAGAGAAGCCAAATCACCATAGTGTTGCCCATTGTTTTTCCGTTACTAACTTCTTACTACAGTGGATGCATCTACTCCTATGTTTACCATCTTAGATTTCTGGCGTTTATTAGAGTTTGGTACCTTTTGAACTGGTTGAGTAGGTTGTGTTTCACTGTGTGTTGCAGCTGGAGTCTCTGTTTCATCCTCATTAATTTCCATGTACTCATTCTCAGCATTAAGAGCTGCCATTGTCTCAAGTGTTTGAGAATCCATTCTACAGCACAAAAAAACATAAGCAAAATACTGTAGTAATGGGAATACAAAAGCAAAATCGATACAGTGTGTGTGTGACTTCTAAAAAAGCAAAAGCACGAAATTAAGGCACTTACAAGTCACTAAGAAGCAGCAAAGTTCCTAAACTCCTTTTTGTATCTGATGGTGGAGAGAATCTCCGTTTTCAGCAAAGGGCTTTGGAGACGACGTCTGCTTCACTAGAAGATCGCAAATTTTTGGAAATCAAAGAGATAAAGGTTTTTCTACAGAACTCCGAGTCCTGCGATGGCCTTTCTGCTTCTACGGATAAGCTCAGATGAGAAAATGGCGTGACGGGTCAATCTCGACAAATTCTCGAGTATCATAGGCAAAGAAGACAGTGTGCTAAGAGAGGAGGAAAACGGCGTCATTTTTAGACATTATTGTTAAAAAAAACTCATGGATACCCTAAACCCGATAAGATATAACCCGAAAGGATAAATTGAAAATAAGACCCGTCCATTTTAAACCTGCGTTTTTTTTCTTCTAAATGAACAGAGCAATGGATTCGGAAAAAACTAAGGATATAGGGTACCCATTGGGTAAAAACCCAACAATAACACCCCTGCTACAAGAGCTATAATGTCGTACACTTGTATCAATCATCTTGGGCTTGAAGATTAGGTTGGACATTTATTTGATTTGTTTTTGGTTTGGTTGAGTTTGGTTTGAGATTTAATTTGGCGAAATCAAATCGAATCAGTAAATGAAATTGCGGTCTATAAAATTCTATGCTTTATTGGGGTTGAAGATTTCTGTTTCTAACATGGCTGGACACTAAATATGAGCTGGGTCACCAAAATTGTGCTCTGTGGGCTGGGTCAATAAAATTGTGCTTTATGGGTTGGGTCAATAAAATTTTGCTTTATGGGCTGGGTCAATAATATTGTGCTTTGTGGGCTGGGTCAATAAAACCGTACATTATGGGCTGGGTCGTACTGGGCCTACTATATTGCAATTTACAGAACGTTGTCGCTTTATTATATTTGGTTTTGTTTTTCGTTAAACAATCTGTGGAAATTCCTTCTTCGTCTTCCAAAATTGCAAGTGGCTTCCCTCCAATTCTCCATCGGAGCCCGCTGTCGTCGTTGTTCCTCTTCGTCTCACTGTATTTCTCTGTGTCAATATCTTAAGGTATATTAGTTTTTGATTTTTCGATTTTAGAATCGGTTTCCTCTCGGCTTTCAATGATTTTGTTTTATGTAATGGTATTGCCGTATTGATTTCCGGCGATTCTAGTTTTCTTCTTTTAAGGTTATGATTATCTATGAGTTTTTCTCGATCTCCGGTTAGGTTTTTTCACCAGGGAGCTTCCTTACATGCGCAAAACGTCATGGACGCGAACAATACCTTCGATTCTGTAATCTCTGCTCGCCTCTTCCTTTCTCCCTACCTAATCCTTTGCAGTTTTCTTGTCTGCATTCTATGATCTTCATTTTCTTACCTTGGATTTTCATGGAATCAGGATCTGATTCACGCCATTTTCAAGCACATTTGGGCGCGAAGATTTCGCGGTACCCATTATTTGTTTTCGAGTAACTTATCCGCTTATAAGATCTTCTCTGTTCCGATTTATCTGTGATTTTTGTTTTTTTTTGTTTGTAGAAAGGGAGAGGAGTGATGCAATTGATGCTGCGGAAGCTGAGGTACTCGATTCAAATCGCTGGTTTCATGTTCCTCAATTTTTCAGACTATACCACAAATTTGAATTCTCCTCTAGTATTGTCATTCCTTCACTGGATACTGTGGTTGAGATTTATCCTATAACAGCTATGGTCTTCTGATTTCTGAGATTCAATATGTTCAAAGAAGTGATTGAAGATGCCATATTATACCTTACGTTTAGTGCAGGTTGCTCTGGGAACATCAAAGAAGAACAGACTTGCTTCTGGTTTGTAAATAAATTGTCGCCTACTTTCTCCTGTAAATTGGGAGAGATGAGACTTGTCTTTGTGTGATAATTGATGAATATTTATGGCTTTTGGTTGTTGTAGCCAACGCAAATGCTCTGAAACTCAGCTGTGAGCTTCTCAAGAGTTTTGTCTCAGGTCATGTTTAAATTTTTGCAAAGTTCTCTCGATCTTCTGGGTTAGCCATGTTGTATCTAAATAGTTTTTTTTTTCTTTCTTAAACCATCGGCAGAGGCTGTGCAGCGCGCCGCCATAATTGCTGAAGCTGAGGGAATGGACAAGATTGAAGCTACTCATTTAGAGAGGATTCTTCCTCAGCTTCTTTTAGACTTTTAAGGTACGATTGAGAACAATCGACTGTTAGTAGTATTTGAAGATTAACAATGAATTCACGCAAGGTTTTCTGAAGATCATATAACTAGTTTATCTCTGTTTGTTCTTTCGCCATGGGCTAATGTGGTTATATATGGTTCATGTAAGGTAATGTTCATGATAAATAACGAGAACGTAGTATATGTATTTGACTTGATTCTATCTATACTAAATCTTACTTCATTCCGATTAATATGAGAAACAAACCTGAGAGTTTACGCCTGCACACTGTTTGTTTCCTCCATTCTCAATGGTATGGCTTCCGCACTAAGAAGTTTTTATACTTAGGTGAACAGATGGAAGTATTTGTGTTTTCTTGATTAACGCAGTGTAAAGATCATCATATGATTTATATCTGCACTTAGGTACATGTTCTTAAACTGGAGACACAGAGGAATCGTTTGACGATGATCCTTTGGATAATAATTCGTCCATGAGCAGCAATGTCAGACGCAGTTTGGTAGGCTCAGTAGCTGATGTTAGGGTTATTACTTTTTTTAACCAGACCGTAACTAAGTTTTGAGCTAACTTTACATTGGTTTGCGTGACGCCCAGTGAGTATTTACGACCAAACCTTGACATCTGTCTTTTTATTTTGACATCATCGTCTTAGCATAATAAGGACACATCGATACCTTCTAATACATGGCATTCTCTTATCTAGTTATCTTATAATCTCTGTGAAAACTCACAAAAAATGGCTTCTTCTGCGGATGCTCTAGAGGGTGGGCCTTCGTCTTTGAGAATTGCGGCCGATAAGTACCGATCCATTTTGAATGATGAGAAAACGGGAAATATACGGTGGAGATACGGTGGTCCTCCGATATTTGATACTGTGAACAAGCTCTTCGAAGAAGAAAGAACCCATGTAATTAAAAGCAACTCTCTATCTTTTCTGTCTATTTCATGAAATTGTGGCATTTTCCATAGCATCATCATGTAATGATAGTGCTAAAAAAAACACATACAGTATCAAATCAAATGATTCACTAGTTTCCGCAATAATTTTTGTTTTAAAAAGGATCAGGAATCGTTAATGACCATACGATATCCGACTCGACAGATAGCAAACATATACTGATATACCTAAAAATATTACAAGACTTTTCTTGATTTATGCTTTTTTGTTTTCCTAGTCTTCAAACATGTTATCATTTTAATGAATAGAAAAAGTGGACAGACAAAGAAGTAATCGAGGGTTATTGGTTGCAACTTTGTCATGATATCCTATCAAAATGTGATGTGACTCTTAACAACTCCAAAAATGTCAAATTAATGAGGTTAAGGAAACGGGATTCATGAGTAAACCACTGAAAACTCTCTTCTTACTATCTATAAAAGCGATAAACAAGCCTAACTCTCTCTACATCAAAAGCTAATATGGCTATTAGGGAAGAGAGAGATAAGTACAGATCTGTCCTTGAACATTCAGGACAGGTCCAATGGAGGTATGGTCACCCTCCAGCCTTCGATACTGTGAACCAGCTCTTTGAAGAAGGCCAGACCAAGGTCCTTCGGTTAACTTATATATCACTTTAGGTATGTGCTATCATCTGAAAATCTGATTCGTTGCCTGTCTTTGGTTTTGATTGCAGGTATGGCCGGAAGGGTCCTTGGAAGAGACGGTTCAAAATGCGATCAAGTCATGGGAGATGGAGTTCTCACACAAGATCCGTTTACAAGACTTCAAAACCATAAACCCTGACAAGTTTAAGCTCTTTGTCAATGGTAATTTACCACAAACACCTGATTCTAAATGATTTTAAACTGAATAATTATTAAGCAACGATTTAAGTGGTTTTTTTAATTATTAGGAAGAGAAGGATTATCAGCTGAAGAAACGCTTAGGCTTGGGAGTTACAATGCTTTGCTCAAGAACTCTCTGCCTGAAGAGTTTCAGTACTATAAGCCAGAGGATGAGACTTTCGAGTCATCACATGACGCCTTTAGATCAGCTTTACCACGCGGATTTGCGTGGGAAATACTATCTGTGTACTCGGGGCCGCCTGTTATAGCATTCAAGTTTAGACACTGGGGATACTTTGAAGGAAATTTCAGAGGTCACGCTCCTACTGGGGATTTGGTTCAATTCCTCGGCCTGGGAGTTCTAAAGGTATGTCTGAAACATGAATTTATGTCCCTACTTATAATCTGTCAATATAGTTAAAACCTCTAGCATCAAGATTTGCTTACATCTAGATGTTCTCTACAGGTTGATGAATTTCTTAGAGCAGAGGAGATTGAGATTTATTATGATCCAGGAGAGCTGTTCGGGGGATTGCTCAAGGGAAATCCTATATCAGAGACCAAAACCACAGACAGTGGAGACAAAGCAGAGAAACAAATCTGCCCCTTCACACATTAAGAAAATCTTAGGCTCTACAAATGTTTATCTTCCATATTGCATTGGGTTATACAGGAAAATAAGGAAAGCAGAAGTGTGGGTAGACCAACCTTTGAAGAATATATTTGTAACAGTCACTTTGGTTTTTGGTGCATGGAATAAGTTATAGTTATGTTCCCAGGCGTCACAATGATATTACAGATAAATTACAGCAATAACTAGAACATGGCAGTTTATTTAACTCACCAGTTTCTCAGCAGAGCTCAACCTTTGAATCAACCCCGTTCTGACATTCATCCATGAGAGCCACGTTTAACATTTCAGTACAGAATTGATCATCAGGTTTCAACCATAGGGCCTGAAGAGAGAGAAAAGAAACAGAGACGATGATTGAGAATAAATGAAGAGCATTTAACTCATCGTCTGATGGAGAAGAAAAGTCTCCATATGATAACTATTAAGGACATCATTAGATATTTGCTCATATATAGAACTGCGTATACCTTGTGATAATAAGAGATGGCAGCTGAGAAATTCCCCTGCACAAGAATGAGATGGAATTGGAAAGAATTACAAATCATTGCTTTTGTGAAAATCAGCGCTAGTATTGTTTGAAGAAAATGACTGGTGCAAATACCTGTAAATGGTAAGTGTAAGCCAAGCCGGAATATGTGCTTAAGCTTTTGGTTGATAGTGTAAGTGCTCTTTCATAATATGAGATGGCTTCACGATCCTTCCTGTTGATAAGAATTTTCCCAAGTCATAACTTCATTACATTCACAGCACGAGATTCCCTGCATAAGAGGAAGATCATGGTAGTTGTGTGTGCACCACTATACCTCAGCTTTCTATATGCATGAGCGAGATTGACCACAGTTGGTTCCCAGATTTCAGTTAAGGCAGATGGTATATGGGCCAACGTCTTCTCAAACCACCGCACAGCTTTACCATACCTGAAATATAGTGAATGCTGTTGATTCAATTTCTATTGTAGCTTTGCCATTAACAGCATTTGAAAAATTTCGGAGATAAGCAGACTGTAAAGAGAAAAGTTACACACTCTTTCATATGATATGCAACAACTCCGAGTTCATTATAAACAAGTGGATCTGAAGGGCATATCGCCTTTGCTTGCATGAAAAACTGAACCAAGAAAAGGGATCAAAGTAAATACAATGTTAGCCCAAAAGATAAGTCATATAATTTGAAGACACCACACAGCATATTGTAACTTGTTACCTGGTCCGCAAGCTTGTAGCTGTGAGTTCGCATATACTCCATTCCAATGTACAGAGTTGGCAAATGACACCTGGAACAAGATAATATCAAGATTCAACCTGTAAAAGACAATTTGTAACGTAATAAGAAGGCTTCCACAATGCTTCAGGGCTGAGAATGATCCATTTTGAACATTACAAACTTACAGTCACTAATTCTGAAGAAAAAAAGAGTAAATTGATTACCCTGGAAATAGCCTAGCGGCAGTGCGATAGGCAGACATGGCTTGGTCACCCTCCTCTTGGGCGGCAAAGGAATTACCAAAGCCTATCCATGCTGGTGAGAAGGAACCATCTATATTTGTAGCTTTGCTGGAAGACCATATTAAAAGAAATGGAGATTCAGGTCAGACACCTACCATTGCACCTACCTATTAGAGTTGATCAAGAATGCATAATGCCATAACATGATTACCTAAAGTACCGCCGAGCTTCAGCATACTTTTTGATACAATAGTAGTAACAACCCACCGCAAACCATGACAAAGCCCTACAAGGTCATGAATGAGTATTCAAATCACAAAGCATCGAGCAAAAGAACCCTGCCTATATACTAACTCATGAAGATTTAGCTCAAAAACCATAGTACTAAAATATTTTCAACCAGATCAAGTACAGAATATTTTCAACCAAAAAACTAACACAAGAAATCATGCTCCGAAAGCTTACAATCATGCTCTGAAAATCTGAACCCAAAAGCAGGTTAAATATCCTAATTAGGATTGGGATAAAATCAGAAGAACTATATCACTCACTTCGAAGGGTAGTCTTTCACCAAATTGCATGCCATCAGATAGAGCTCATTTGAATTACCAAGTTCCATGGCAGCGGCCAAATGTACTAAGGTACACTTCAGATGAAAAGGATCTTTCTCAAGGAGTCTATCAAGTTCGACCAAAAGAACCCACATTACTAGAATCATTCAAGCTTCATATCGCTCAAATTCAGTATCAGCAGTAATATACAACTTACGTAGAGGTCAATTCAAAACACTTCTGATATTCACAGCATTGATGGTAGTACTCAGCTTTACAGGCCAACAGATCAGTGTTATTAACCCATGTACTGATCATAGATGAGCCAGAGACGGTACCACTAGTTTCGCTCTCAAGCTTCCTGAACTTAGCTTCTACTGTGCTCTCTTTGTCATACTGGACAAGAAGAACCAATAAGTACCAAGAAGAGATAGAAAAGATGCTTGCGCAAAGAAACCTATACCTTCTTTATCAGGCATGAGTAGAAAGAAGATAGCCATCCGTCTTCTGGACTAAATTGCAGTGAAGAAAGCAGACTTGCTTCTGAATTTAAAGCAGATAAAAGTCTCAGTTACTTTCTAGTCATGTAAACGACTGCACCATGAAACGAATGAGACAATAAACTAGAGAACAACAAAAAAGCTTTCTATATAACTCACCTTCTTCAGATGTAAGCATATGACTTTCAATAAGGCATTCCAAAGCCTGAAAGGATAGGTTACAGAAATCACAGCCATGTAAGAGTATTGATATCTAGAGGAGGTGCTTCAGTTTTTTACTACTATATACATTTATCTTCCCACAGTAGCTCGGAAACTTTACATGGTAAATAGAAATCACAAGCAGCAATTGACTAGGGCCCTAGGATTACCTCATAGCACAGAGGATCAGCCTTGATAGCAGCTTTATACCTGCAATCCCAACCGAAGTTCATCAGTTAAATTAAATCATCTGAACAAGGAAGATAGGTGAAAAAAAGCACAACTGACCATTGTCGAGCCTGAGAACGGTTTTGTAAGGCTCCATATGCTTTTCCTCTTAGAAAGCATATTGCCGATGATATCTACAAAAGGAAAACCCTTATATATCACCTCAGGTACTTGCATAACCTTCAACCTCGACTCGTATAGATGGTGGTTGACTAGTTAATTCAGTTACAACAATTTCGCTAACTAACCTTCTAGAATCGTATAGATACATGTATAGATAATATTACATAGATGAAGTAATTATACAATTGACAAAGGGTTAAGAAACTTACATTGATCTCTCGGTCCTCTCCATCTTTATCAAAATATATCACGTTACCATCTTTGGCATCATATACATTACCATCTTCATCAACCTTCGCATCACCAAGCATCAAGAGACACTGATCCCATTCCTTTAATTCCTCCTGAGAACGCACATAAATTGCCCATAAACCCTAATACCCTTATCTCCAAAATCTCGTTCTGAAATTTCTAGACCCAACCCAATTAAAAACAGGATAGATAGATAGATAGACAGAAAAAAGGGCGAAAATGGAATTACGAGGCACTTCGCGGCAAGGTAACGGAATCGAAGGTCTCGAAGAACAATTTTCGAGGCGTTGAGAAGGTGAAAGGCGCGCCGGTAATGGCGGCCGAGGAAAAGAGCCTGAGCCTGCATATATATGTCGGCTGGGTCATTGGTGAGAGCAGCCACCTTGTCGGCGAAGAAGATGGCCGACGAGTACAAATGCTTACTGACGCAGTCTCGAACCACGCCACGGATCTTCTCAATTTCTTCTTCCCTCATAGTTTCTCCGCCTCTCAATTCTTCCGGAAAAATTCTGGAAACTGCAAAAAGTGGGGAAGATTATCGATTTGTGTATCGGGAAATTTAGTGCTTCCAGCCTTCCACTATCTCTCTCTCTCTCTACTCAAAACTGTTTGCGCGAGGGAGGCGGGACGAAAGTAGAGCCTCGGCGGGAGAGCGTATACTTTTATTACCTTCCTTAGTTAATGGGCTTGAGGCCCATAAGTTATTAGGTCCCGTAACTTATAAGCCCCATAACTTATTGGGCCCGTAAGTTATAAGGCCCATGAATTATTAGGCCCATGAATTATTAGGCCCATAAATTAGTTACTAGTTCTAAAAGAGTGTAATAAAAGTGGAAACTGTCGACTTGTGGTGAGAATCTTTTCGCTTTTTGTCCGAATGACGACAATGTCTGAACCGAGGAATGTTTCTATAATACTCTGTTAGGCTCAGTTTGAGCAGCAACCGAAACCGATATTCGAACCGGATTAAACCGAATTGATCCGAAAACTCTGAAATCTGAACGGCCCGCCGGGAAAAGTGGAGGAAGAGGTCTTCAGATTCCGTTATTTGATCACCTCTGCCTTCAAATTTTCATTCCATTTTGACACATTCCTACTCCCTTTCGTTAAAGTTCACGATTTTGTAGTAACTGTCGATCGACACCTTTTAATCGATTCTCTACCCGAAGTTGTTTTTGATTATTATTTCGATTCGATAATTGGGTTCATGGATGAAGACGGAGAGAAACGAGTCCGTGCGAAACGATCGGTTGAATTTGATTGGATAAGCGATTTGCCAGATTGCTTGCTATGTCAGGTACTCTTGAAACTTCCCACCAAGGACGTGGTTAAGACTAGTGTGTTATCCAGTAGATGGAGGAATCTCTGGAGATACGTCCCTGGATTGGACTTGGGGGATGTTGATTTTCCCGAGTACAACACATTCGTTGGTTTTGTAGATAGCTTTCTGGATCTAAACAGTGAATCTTGCTTACAAAAGTTTAAGTTAAAATACGATTGCGATGGGGATCACGAGCCCGAACTTAATCTCATCACCCGGTGGATCAACACTGTGGTCACGCGGAAAGTGAAACATATCGATGTTTTGGATGATTCATATGGGAGCTGGGATTCCCAGATGACTCCTACACTTTACACCTGTGAGAGTTTGGTTTCTATAAAGCTTTGTGGACTAACCTTGCCTAGCCCCAAGTTTGTTTCTTTACCTTCTCTTAGGGTTATCCATCTAACTATAGCTAAGTTTGCTGACCAATTGGCGTTAGAAACGCTCATCTCAAGCTGCCCACTTCTCAAAACCTTGATTATTGAAAGGTGTTTTTGTGATGATATACAAGTTTTGCGTGTGCGTTCTCAGTCTCTACTTAGCTTCACTCACGTTGCGGACAGCTCTGATTATTTGGTTGAAGATTTAGTAGTTGCAGTTGATGCTCCCAGGCTTGAGTTTCTGAAGCTCAGTGATCATCGAATTGCGAGTTTCATACTAAATAACGTGGCTTCACTAGTAGAAGCCGATATCGATACTGTGTTTAACTTGATTTCCGAAAACAAGTTCGATCCAAATGATCTACAGAAGAGGAATATGATTCGCAATTTTCTCGTCGGGATCTCTAAGGTCAAAGATATGATCATTGCCTCGAGTACTCTTGAGGTAACGTATGTTGAATTCGCTATTTGAATGACGAACTTTATACTATAAGCTTATCCTTGTACATTTTTATTAATTTTTGTTGTTACAGGTCATTTATGATTACTCAAGGTGTGAACCACTACCCTTATTCCGTAACCTATCCTTCTTGCGTGTCGAGTTCTACGGCTACAGGTGGAAAATGTTGCCAATCTTTCTTGAGAGCTGCCCAAATCTAAAGTCTCTTGTCGTGGTGAGGATTGTCTACTAAGCCATGAACTTTCTATCTCAAGATGCAAATGGTGAAAGTCATATATTCAACTTGTGTTTATTCCGCTTGGTTGTACTACTACTTGCAGGGATCTACTCAATATCTGGAGAAGGAGGGAATTAATATTTTGTCCGAACCTCGGTGTTTCTTATCATCTCTTGAGTATGTTAAGATAGAAAGGCCATTGAAAGGGGAGGCGATGGAGATGGAACTAGTGAGTTTACTTACTCGAGAAATCAACAATCCTCAAGAAACTAAGCTTATGCTTGGATGATTCCAGAAAGAAAGATGAATCTGTCATTCTCAAAGAACTACTTACTATTCCAAGGCTCTCTAGCTCATGCCAAGTTGTTTTTCTCTGATGATCCATATAATCATCACAAATTAGAAGGTTGTCTTTGAATACTTAGCTAATATGCATTTTTTGTTTTTTTCTTAGTTTATAATGACATTAAAGTGTTAGAGTTCGTAAGAGAATCAAATTTTATGGATCAAATCACTAAATCAGTATCTCTTCATCGTGGCTAAGACATGCTTCAGAAGTTGTTCAAGAGATGTTAATGCATTTTTTATTTTATTTTTGACTTGCAGCAAGCTATAACATTAATAGCATAGTTGGAAAAGCATAGGGCGAGAGATGAAGGAAACTATAAATATAGGGTATTTAAACATGACAATTATTCATTTTCAGATCAACAAAAAAAAAGAAACGTTTTACTTCTTTATATGACCCTCCCAAAAGCATTAATTTAAACGTTGCCGAGAAGAGAGATATAGAGTAGCTGGTTCCATACATCGGGAACTCCAGGGAGGCACCAATGGCTACAGTCATTATAGCTAGGTCCTCTACCGGCGTAGATGGAAGGGTGACCGTCCTTCCTCAGCTCCGTCATAGCCGTCACGTCAAGGAGGCTCACCGGTTTAGCCATCCCTCCGATCACACTTCTCACTATAGCCTCGCCTTCGTTCTTATTCTCTCCTCCGGTACTGTAATCTGGTCCGTTTACTGGTTCCGTCTCTCCCAAGCAAGTTTTCCCCGGTTTACCCCATTCACTACCACTTTACATTAACCAAAGAAGACAAAAACAAAACACGGTTAATTATATACGTATGTCTTCTTTTTTTTTAATTAATTAGTTTTAAACTATAAAATAAATTACTAGAGAGAGAAAGAGAGAGAGATTATAGTATACATACATTAAGTGAACGGGAGAGACGCCTTGATAGAAAACCCTAGTTTTTGAAGGATCAATGTTGCGATCAACCCAATTAGCCCAAGTTGTCAAAGCAATCTTGAAAGCTTCCATTCTATTCATCTCTTTCTCCATTTGTTCTCCCGTTTCGAAATAGTTCCATCTACATACATACGTCATGCATCATCATCATCATCATCATCACTGGATTATACATGTGCATGATTAATTAAGCTCGTTGATGATAAATATTTACGTCTGAGAACGACCGGTGTGAGTCCACCAGTGGAAGGTGTTAAAGATTAAAACATCTGATCCCAACCATTGATTTCCGGTACTGATCGAATCTAGTTTCAGTACCAATCCTCTTGTTTTGTCCGCTACCAAATCCACCAGGAACCCATTTTTCAGATAATTTACCGATATTCCATATTCCTATCATTTCAATTGATAGGATGAATTTACTATTTGTTTTAGTTAACCGAATCCAATAACCATGAATAAACCGGTTAAATACGTACCGGAATGGTGAAGGTAGAGAGGAGCTTGTCGGGGTTGAAGGTATAATTAGCGTTGGGAACGGCCGCGTGAAGCATGCAACTTAGCGACACCCACATACTGTTGCTCAGTGAATCTCCCACAAACAGTATTTTCTTCCCTTTGAATCTCGTTAAGAAATCTCGTCCGTCGAATCTGCCACGTCATATAGAAGAAGAATTTGAACATGACAATTTTGACTACACAATTATCATGAAGCTTACTAGAGTAATCTATACAAGATTTCATTGTCTTTCTTATGCTCAAAAATTTTCGGATATTTAATATCAATTAATAATTTACACAAAATATTAGTGTGGAATGGTTATAAACTAATAATTGTCAGATTTGCTAATTAGTAATAAAGCTTGTATCTTATTATAAAATACAAATCCCTTTTAGCAAATGTAATTATGATTCGTATCATATTTCACTAGTATTCAAGACCAATTAATGCGTAATCTCCTAGTTTACTTCCTACAATTTCAAATGTTTTCCTAGTCGTTAACCGGACGAGATTACGTAAATTCATCGTTATAGAGTTAATTGGAGTTATTGTTATAAAGTTCATTGGAATTAACAAAAAAGAAATTCTTAACTATAATCTAAATATTTTTTACAGATAAGTGGAAATGATTATCACCTTGGGATGTCGCATCCGGTTGGTTGCCACCGGTAATAGAGGTAATTCTTGTCCGGCCGACCAAATTTTTGGCAATCTAATCCCATGAACGGACAAGTCGATGTTCCATAGAGAGGATCAGAAGAATTGTCATAAATCCAACTTCCTTTGTAAATGTCACACTTTGATGCCTCCTCCTTGTAACCAGTTTCTTTGTTAAATTTGTGATCAGCATTGTTTTTGTTTGCTAATACGTTGCGATCTGATAAATCAACAAGAAAATTAAGAAGAAGGAGAAAGATGACCGGTTTGCGTCCTTCACGAATGGCTGGGGGGGGGGGGTGGTTCTAATTAGAAGAGAAGATGTAACACGTTATTGTTAAGTTGTTGTGTTTATAATCTACATAAACAGCCAAATATCTATGATTTTTCGGGAAAGTAATAATTATTGTTAAATATTTGTTTACTCAATTTTTTTTTGTTATTATAATGGGCTAGAGAATAACTCTCATGCTTTAGCTTATGATATATAAAGATCCGATCATATACTCTCAATTTTTAAAACATAAAATCTACGAGATTTTTTGCCTTTAGGAGAAGATCCAGTAACATACGATAAATTGAGAGAAAGTAAATAAAATGATAAGACATAACTGACGTTTTAAAGGTTTTCGGCATTTAAATATTTGTAGTGCTTTTCTTGTTTGGCTCTGTGGAATCTTTATGTTATAAGGTGCAGTTTAGTTAACTTTTGTAAAGGCTAACCTCAGCGTCTGGCTCATTGTAATGTCTTATGTGTTAGGTGCTTCTGTGATTAGAGATATGTAATTGGCCAATATATATTTAAGCCAACCTCATAAAGGAATTGTACTCAAAAGCTTAGTTTCAATCAGTTCGGACGTTGGAGTCTTCAGAGTCCGAGTGGATAATAGATATCAGACAATTTGTATTTTTTTTCACATGGTTAATTTGAAATACTAACATGATAGTTTTCATATATTCAAAAAGTATTATTTGTACGTAGAAAAGTTTTTGTCAATTAAAAAAAGAATATACACATGGCAGAATATTACTCATGGTTGACATGTGGCCATTCCTCAAGTTATACGTACGTGAATTGACCAAGACCTAAGCTTTTTTGTTTCTTCTTCCATGGGATAAACTCATATGCATACACTTTCCGACTTTCGTCATCCACCTTCCTCTGTGTACGTATAACAATAAATCAATAATAAAAAAAAAGAGAGTGTCTTAACAGGACTAAGAAGAAGAAAATCAAGCCCATGTCAGATAATGATATCTGTAGCCGTTATAAACAGAGGCTCCTCTGTCACCTGCAAAAACCTTATTTTGTCGTATTGGAGCGATAATTGTTGACTAATAACAATGATGATGAATTGTTGATATGAAACAATAATTGGTTTGCTTACTTCACTGTGAGTCTGTAATTGTTAACATAAAACAAAAAGTAACGAAATACAGTAATTTGTATAGAACCATGTAAACCGGTTTTTAGGTTAGCTAAGTAACCGGGTGGGTTGGGACTTGGGAAAGAAGAGGGTTAAAAGGGCAGTGGAAGGATACAATCACAAGAGGTACAAAAAAAAAGACCAATATTTCAAGCTATGTTTCACTTTGAGCCTTACATTATAAAATAAATTGAAATAAAATTGAAGCACCACCATATTGAGAATGGTCTAGTTGGAGTTGGACCGGTTTAATTTTTTCATATATTGTTTTTTTATAGATGTACATATGATTGTTGTAACTACCTTGTGCTTGAGTTTCCAAGAGTGAGCTCGAGATCATCCGAACCACTCTCCTCGTGTATCCTCTCTCCTTCCCATGCTTTCACTAACCCATTTGTGTTACTACTACCAAACGCAAACTCTGGAGGAGCGACGGCTTCAGACATTGGAACATCTGCTGTCTGAGGAATAGCCGGTGAGCAAGTCCCGCTTTGACTTGGTGTCCACATTCTTGACCCGCCTCCACGAGCAGAGGCTACTTCTTCTTTAAATCCAAATGGGTTTTGTGAGACGAGACTAAACGTTGGAGAAGCAGGAACGCTTTGCGCGAGTTGAATCCCTGAGAACCATTCAGAGTCAGGGATGATCTGACGTGTGGGACTGGGAGGTGTTGAGGATGCAAAGAAGGAGTTGTTGAGTTGTTGCCAATCAGGGTTCATCCTCGGGGTACGAGCTGTTGGAGAGCTTAAAGGAGGGGTAACAGGAGCGCTTATGGAGCCTCCAGGGATGTAGAGGTAATTAGGGAGTCTTGATGATGAAGAAGCTGATGAGGATGATGTTGTTGAGAGGTGTTTTAGCCATGGAATGAGTGATTGGCCATCTCCAGAGGTGAGATTGGGGAAAGAAGAAGAAGCTGGGCTCATGAAGTTGGAGGAGCCTGGACTGGGATTGTAAGAAGCGCACGGGCTTGGCTGATAAGAGGAGCACGGGCTCGCGGTTGCTGAACCGCCACCTATCTCCATACGCTCTACTGGTCTACTTCCCTGAAAACAGATCAAACAGATTTGATGAGAAGGAGATTGTATCAAGATATTAGTGTGTTGAAAGTGTTATGATATTCTTTTTAAGGCCTAAAGATAAGCAGAACTAGTTTCGATTGTGTTAATGTCAAAACGTGAAACAGACAGGTGTTGATTTTCCAAGTCAGCTTGGTCTAAGTTTCAGATAAACAAATTCTCTGTTTCTTAAACCAATCGGGTCAAGGATTCCTGACTGTTCCCGACAGATTATCGATGGACTCGATTCTCGATAGCTCGACTTGAGACAGTAAAGCAAAAGCGGTCACATGCTTTTTCCAAAAATCTACAGATAAAAAAACGTACACTTTGAAGTTTGAACTCTGAGCAAATACTTTTTTTTTTTTTTTTCATCAGTTTTCTAGAGATCTATGCTACTTTGGTTTTCCCTTTTTATGTTTTGGTGGGTATCATCTGAGAATAGACTAGACCTGGGGACGCAAGTGAACCAATCACACAACATGAGACACAGAGAGTAAAAGAGAGAGAAAGAATCTTCTTTTAGATAAACGCAATAATAAAAAGAGAAGAATCAAAAACATTTGACTAGCGCTCCTCTAACGCTAACCTACGCAGGTGGCATTAATCAAGAACACGTTAGCAAATTCGTGACCGAAGACATTAGTTGCCGGAAAGGAAGGCTCCGACCAAAATTGTGTCTAGATTCAGAAAGCCGTGTTCGTAAGCTTAAAGAAGAAGAAGATAGAAAGAAAGTGAGATCGAGGAATCGAGAGACGAACCTTGCGATAAGTAGTGCCATCGGGTTCGACGATCCAACCGGCCTCGTTGCAGAGTGCTTTAAGCACTTCGTTGTTGTCGCAGTGCTTTGGCAGCTCGTAGTTCCCAAACATTCTCAATCCGGTGAAGATCTTCGCTGCGATCGCTCTCCGCCGTCTCTCTCTCCTCTTGTTGTTCTCTCTCTCCCTCCATGTCGGCATTCTCGTCCCCGACGTCATCACTCTCGATCTTCTTCCTCTGAAACTGTCTGTGAGAATTTAACCCGAAACTATCTCGAGAAGTCTCTGAATCTTCGGTGAAACACTCTTTTCAGATCTCGCATATAACAGAGAAATCGAAATTGCGTGCACCAACAGTTCCAATTCCCGATCAGCCTTCCCTTTGAATACAGAAAATGCTCCCACCGGAAAAAAAAAACTCCCTGGAGTGGAGCGATTCGACGGTGAGAAAATAATCGTGAAGAAAGTTTCAGCAGCTTGTTATAGCTAAAAGCCTTAAAACTAAAAAGAAGTATACTTTTAGCTGAACACGGCGGATCAAGATGCTCGGAAAATTAGATATTGGTCAATTTCTCAGTGATCGAGTGGAAAAAAAAACCCGGGAATTGGAGAAGAAGATGCTAATAATGAACTCTCGTGCCAGAGAAGAAGGGATTAATACGTTCATACTTCATACTGATAAGCCAAAGAAAACAAATTGGCTCAAGACTACCCAATTTACCCGAGATTTGACCCTATAACCACGAAATTGCCACTACATGAGGTCACGCGTGTCCTCCGGACCCAGCACGTGGGAGCATATATCTTTACCCGGGATTAGACCGTAATTTACCAGTTTGCCACAACATGTTTCCATTAACAACGTGCAAGAGTTGGCAATTATACCCCTTGAAACGTGATCTGATTTACGAAAATGCCACGAAACCGTTTTTGCTGACCATGGAAGCTTCCTTTTCACGTGATGGTGCGTCCCCGGCGTGACCCTGTAGGGGCCCATAAACTGTTATTTTGACATTCGGGTGTGCACCACCGGTGGCTCGATATATAGTCTCACGTGGCCGCCGCGTCTGTGTGCCACCCACGTTGTCTCTTTATCAGAACCTTCTCTCTCTCTTCAAACTGGTCGTTCAAAGAGCTGTTTCTGTCCAACATCAATGATGATTCTGCTTAGAGACACAACTTGCCAGATCATCGGCGTTACAGACAACACACAAATAACGGTCTTCTTACATTATTAAAAAAATAGGGATATGATTACTCTATTTTGTATATAGATATACTAAGATTTCAGGGGTGGTTGTCCCGAATATTTAAACATTTTACTTTTTTGTTGTTTTATAGGTTGCATATTTTTTTATAATTGAATGTAAATTTTATTCAACCCAAAAAAAAAACATTTTTACAATGAATGCAACTTGGTTTCCCTTAGAAAGAATGATAGAAGAGCTATATTCTATGTGTTACATTTGAGAGATAAACCGGAATTTGACAAAAAAAAATCTTTTGAATACTCGATGGAAATCAAGGGGGGTCGAGTGGCGAACTACAAGCTCAGCCCCTCATCAAAGGAGTTATCGCCACTGTTTTTAGGGTGCATATTGTTTTCAATGATCACACAAATGTCACGTTTTTGTTGAGCTTTTTTTCCTCTACATTCGATTCTTATTTATTAAGATGCGAGTTATTTAAACTCTAGTTGTTAAAGTTTCACTCTCAGCTTCAGACAATCAAGTTCATCATATAATTGAATACCATTTGCGGATCTAAACCGGAGCCTAAAAAATTGTGGACCGGATTCTGATCTGAAGCATCCAGGCAGAAGTCACAACCGCTTGGCTAAGAGTCGTAATGTTTCCAGTGAGGATTGAATCTTCTCCGAAAGAGCTGTGTAGAGACATCTCTGAGCGGTTTCGTCTAGCTTATGACCAGCAGAAGAGAGGACAGGCCATTTGGCTTCTTGAAGAGGAGCCGTTACATGGCGTGAGGCCGAGACAGCGGTCTCAACCATCATGGGAACATCAAACTCAATTGGTTCACCAACCACGACTTGAAGGTTTTTGTTCCACAGCGGTAATGGTGGCCTTCTTCCGTTGAAATAGTTCTCTGGCATCATCTACGTCGTCAGAACAATGTAGGTAAGTGCCTTGGAGTGCAAAAACATAATACTATCAAAGAAACATTCTGAATTCTGGAAACTGGTTGCATAGTTCACGGCTTATTATTGTTCCCACAGGCTTTAAGCTATAGAAATTCAAACTATTCACTGAGTTAAGCAAGGCTTAAATGGAACTGTAAGAGTTAAGACATGTTATACCTTGTCAAAACCGCGGTGAATTATTGGCAAGACGATTGGGGTAACTGGGCAACGGGCGATGAGGCTTGCCGTTCCCCATTTAAGTCGTCTTATAGGCACATCTTCTTGAAACACCTTGCCCTCTGGGAAGGTATGCAACTACTAGTCATGATTAAAACCAAAGGTTAGAGGTAAGAAAAGACCCGAAGATATGTCAGTATTTGTTCAAATGTGCAAGATGAATACCCAAGATCCATCTTTTAGTCGCTGGAGAGCTTCATTCATGTGTTCTTGGTAGATTCCACCACCTCTAGTTATAGGTATACATTTGCCTGCTCAAAAGAAAGGTATTAACATTCATCTTGAGAAAATTCTATTTTGCGAAGAAGGCAACCACAAAATCTATTAAAGAAGTTCCGTTCACACTCACTAGATTCTGAAAAAGAAGGAACGAATCCAAAGGTGACGTACCAGTGCGGAATATGTAGGAGAAGATAGGGTTCTTAAAACATATGTCCTCTGCAGCAAGAACCCATCGAGCCAACTCTGGATCTAAGGAAAGAAGACCCTTGAACCCTCCCCACATTACTGGATCATCCAAACTGATCAGGATAAACACGAAAAAAAAAAGAGAGAAGAGAATAGATCAACATTAAGATACAAGTGAGTGGAAAGAGAAGAAGAAAAGATGAGATTAAAAAGGTTTTAACTTTTAACTAACGTCGACATGTGATTACTAACAGTGATGAGAGGAACACCGGGTGGTCGTGACCGGACAAGAGTCATAAGAGTATCTGCATTGTGAACTGTGGTTTTGTTGCAAAGATTCGCTACCGCTCTCGCAAACGCACCAACAGCCATTATCACAGTTTTCCTTGGAATTCCTCCCAAGTGATCAGATTTTGCTGCCCATTCCATTATCCTCCCCATTTATGCCTCTTGCCAAGAACTGCAAGCTTCAAAGTTCCCACCCTTTTCCAGATCAAGAACTCGAGAAGCTACTTGCATACAGAGCCAGTTCTGATTCTGAAGATGAGTAAACCGGATATTAGGGAAATCTACGCCAAATGTAGATGCAAGGATTCCATAACTAGGTTTCGGTTCCTAAGCAGCAATCTCTAAAACAGTATTACCGGGTAATCTAGGAAAATCTTAACGATACAACTGACCAATTAGGGTTTATCAATCTCTTTACTTAATTCCTCCTAACAAGATCTACTTTAAGATCGAAACCAAAATTCGGAAAGGAAGACTGCTTACGATTAGACACGAGACCACGAGAGTGGTATAAGAGAGAATTTGAAGAAGCTTTCCTGGGAGGAATTCATCGAGAGAGAGAGAGCGAGAGCAGTGTAATCGGTATATGTGGTTGGTATGACTCGGTACATCTAGAATAGCGGTTTTAGAGGTGAACCGGGAATTTTTGCAACTCAAGAAGACGAGCAAATTCTACAAGGCTAAATTGGGCTTTATGTATTAAACGTACAATATAAAGCCCAACATACACTTACAAATAGAGTTGTTATTTGACATTTCTATGAGTAAAAAATACACTTCACAAATACAAGCCATAGATAGATATTACACATCATCAGAGTTACAAAAGCTTCACATATACTAACAGAGTTGAAGATTGAAGAATCATCACTGGTTCAACCGAATAAACACACGAGAGGATGTTCTTAGAGAAGGGATCGTTGTTGTGTAAAAATGTAAACCTCGTCGTAACCTCTCCTGCATAATCCATCATATTAGATGATTCAAAAGGATCGTTAAAACATATACAGTCGGAAAAATAAGAAGAGAGAATTATGTAAAGATTGTCCGAGTGGCGTTACCCTTCGTATCCACAGTACGTAGGCTTGTAGTTATAAATGAGATTGCTCAGCACTTCCTTGGGAGATGGTCTGTTTAGTGACTTCCTAGCTTCACTGCACCAATTCAAACTCGATCCGTGAGTATCCGCCACACATATTCATCAATGTTCTCGTGCTATCCATGAGAAAGGACTAGATAAATCTAATTTAACTCTAATTTATACTGATTCTAATGTTAACTCCTTTCCTGATGTAGCAATCAGAATTGATGCACTCTCTTACCGATCCTTACCAAACAATGAAGAGAGAACTAACCTGACTAGATGATTTGCAGCGAGCTGAGTCACCTGGATCGCGTCCTCAGAGTGTGGAATTCTGGATAATCCCCACTCAAATGCATTTTTCTGCAGAGTATTGTACGGAGCTTTTTTCTTTTATAAAAGCTGTAAACCAATATACCATAAATTATAGGATAACGCAATGGACCACAATGATAATTCTTCTGCCTAGGCGTGAAAGGACTAAATGAGAGATGTAAGTTAACACTGAGTATATACCTCAGGATGCCACTGGAAGCCTGTCACCGGATATTTTTTTGATTGAACAGTTGAAACATAAGCCTGGATAAATATGTAAAGTAGATTCGTTTCATGAGGTCAGGCTCTGAATATCTTTAGATTGCTGTGGTTCTTAGGAACATAAAGATACCTTACTGTTGTCATCAGTGCATGTTGTGACGATTTTAAAGAAACGAGACAGAGCAATATTGCCTTCAAAGCTGTCTGGCGAGATACCAAACTGGAAAACAATAACATTTTCATTTTAGCAAAGCAGATAGAATGAGAATATAATAACATTCAAGAACAAGAACGCAGAGATGACCAGAGAATTTTCCTAACTATAGTGAAAAATAAAACTTAAAGAGGTGAAGGACAATGAGCGCATACTTTGCTCTCTGTAGAGAACTCATAGTATGTCAAGCAACGAAAAATGGTGAACAACTGTATTCCATAGTATACAGTGACGCAAATTAGAGGTTGCAAGTTCTAACCTGATGATTCTGCATAACCAAACAGTCTGTACTGAGTTTCTTCAATAACTCTGGGGGAAATCTGCAGTATGAAACATTGCAATTAAAATGTTGCGAAACTTGGGTAATTAGTACACATAAATCTTGAAAAATCTGTATGTACCTTTGAAAAACGGTGCCTTCGGTGCTAACATTTTCAACGAACTGGAGACTTGATGCAGAATTCTTTGCATCAACCTTTTCAAGAATGTCTGTGTTCTGTTAGAAAGGCAAGGATTAGAGATTTTGAATGGCGCATGCAGATCTCAAACTGTACTACATACTAGAGTATATTGTAAGGTAGTAATTCATAAAAGGGATAGCTTAAAGCTCTCTGCTTACCTATTAAACAGAATGATGGAAGAAAGGTTTCTAACTCATGTTCAAATACTCAAGAACTAGAAAAGGACTTAACTTTATAGCTTAGAAAAACACACAAGTTAATGGAAGTATAATACTAGTTGCCAGGAGAAGCAAGAACAAAAATGTCACCTGACTTATAATCATTGTCAGGAGCTCGAATCCTAGGCAAATGGCATATACGGGAAAGTGCTCTCCAGCATCATTTCTTTCCAAAGCTTTCTGTGAGGATCAAAATAAGATCAACGTATTAGAAATATATAGTATACAACACCCAGAATAATTCAAGCCAAAAACAATGATGTTGAGCTCACATTGAAGATTTTTTTGACGATATCATAATACAATCCTTGTTTAGCCCAACCACCAGTGAATATCACACCGTTGACCAAATCAAGCTTCTGCAGTAATTGAAAAAGATGATTTGGAAAAGGAAATTCCCAATTCTCAAGCCACAAACAAACATAACAACATCTAAAACTCACTTAATTTGATATTTCTCATATCAGTGATGAAAAATTCAGGTAAGCAGAACTAGCTGAGCTAAATTTGGAGTAACCTGAAAGAGAAATTCTTCGGGTTCGTTATAGATGAGAGGGATCACGCGTGCTCCACCAGCTTCAGCCAATTTCACATACGAAGCAGCGATGTACGACGCGTTAGTAGCATTGTTCAAACGACCCGACGCGCCGTCGCCAGGATGGCTTAGAATCCCGATAACCGGCTTGTAGTTCAGGTTCGGATCCGGCGCGGAGCATACAGAAATCGGAGAATCAAAGACGCGTGAATCGTTAGCTCCGGTTTGACTAGGAAGGAAAATCGCCGCAGGCGAATCGGTGGCCTTGGCCATTATGGTAATATCTTTACACAAGGATAGTACGAACGGTAACAAGACGTAACTCCACATCTCAGAGGAAGAGGGAGAGGATGCTTTGCGTAAGGATTCGTGAAATGAGACGAAATGGTCAAATCGTGAATCGAATTTCCATGGTTATAAGCTTTTTGTTTTCTTTTCGTCGATATCGTGGAAGATCTTTGTCCAACTCTATTATTGTTTTTCAATCATGAAACCAATCTCTAACGACCACGTGTCTTATATGTTGTTAAAGAATTTATCCCCAGCGTGGGGCCTTTTAACATTTGTGCGTGGCCCAGTACGATTTTTGGTCCGTTTATAAAATAAGCCCGTATAATGGTTTACAAAGGAGGGACTGTTTTACGCTAAATCCAATAATGGTTACACTGATCTTTTGTTTATTTCAGGGGAACTTTTGTTATTCAGATCTTCTTGCTAGACATACGAACCAAATAAAACTAACTCCTTGGAAATGATATAATTCCAAAGAAAAAATCAACCATCTAAATAGGAAAATCATGTAGACAGCGCGAAACAATCGACTCATTAAACTCTCAAGAGTTACCCAAGTTCAGATCATAGAACGTACACATATAACTGGTTCACTTGAGCAAACACGAGACCAAGAGGACTTTCTTAGAAACGGGCTCTTGGTTGTGTGAAAAGGTAAACCTCGTCGTAACCCCTCCTGCAAGATAGATAATCCAAAAGTGTCGTTAAAAACATACAATAACCAAAACACAAGAAGAGAATTGTGTAAGATGCTTGTGTTTTACCCTGCATATCCGCAGTACGTAGGCTTGTAGTTGTATATGAGGTTACTCAACACTTTCTTAGATTCTGGTCTGTTCTTTGACTTCCTAGCTTCACTGCACCACATTGAACCGCGAACCGTGAGAAACCAGCACACAGTTACGAGTGTAAGAATAGAGATCTTACCTGACTAGATAACTTGCAGCATGTTGTGTCACCTGAATCGCGTCCTCAGAGTGTGGAATTTGAGATGATCCCCATTCAAATGCATTTTTCTGCATAATATTTTATTTTGTGAAAAGTTCCCCACCGATATAACACAATAGATCACACTGATATACCTCAGGATGCCACTGGAAGCCAGTTATTGGGTATCTCTTTGCTTTAACAGTTGAAACATAAGTCTGTAAGGGAATTATAATTCAAAGTAAGCACATATTCTGGACTTTGTAGAATCCTTATTATGGTATATGGTAATAATAATATACATCAATACCTTGCTGTTTTCATCAACGCAAGTTGTAATGATTTCAAAGAAACTAGACAGAGCAGGGTTTCCTCGAAAGTTTGCTGGTGTGATACCATACTGAAAAACATATAATCAATTCGTATCAGCAAGCAGACAGAATACCATTCAAGAAAAATAGAGCAGAATATTGCAAGAAAATTTTTGTTAAGAATTGCTCTCTTTTTAAGAATGCGTAATATGTTAACTTTGACGACTATATTCCATTATCTGCACAAAAATTAGAGGTCGCAATACTAACCTTGTGTTTCTGCATAACCAAACAGTCTGTACTGAGTTTTTTCAACAACTCTGGAGGAAATCTGAAAAGATGAATGAATTACAATTATTATGAAATACGTGAGGTACCACCAGTGAAAAGCTACAAGTAGTGAATCATGAAAAGCTATGCACCTTTGGAATAGAGTTCCTTGGATATTAACATTTTCAACGAACTGGAGACTTGATGCATTATCTTCTGCATCAAATCTTTCAAGAATGTCTCTGTTCTGTTACAATCATGACAAGGAATAGAAGTTTAATAGAAACTAGAAAGACTAACTATTAAAAAAAAAACGGGAAGTTAATTGAGTAAACGAAAGTTTGAAAAAGAAGGAAAGAAGAAAAGAGTCACCTGACTAATGATAATTGACATAAGCTCGAATCCGAGGCAAATGCCATATACTGGAAAATGCTCTCCAGCATCATTTCTCTCCAAAGCTTTCTGTGTAGCAACATAAAGAATATTGGAATTGTGTTATAGACAGAAAATGTTCCAGGTAACACGAAGCCAAACAGAACATTGAAGATTTTTTTGACGATGTCGAAATATTGATATTTTTTAGCCCAACCACCAGTGAAGATCACACCATTGACCAATTCTAGCTTCTGCAGATCCAAAATGACAAGACAAAATGGATTAATCCAATGCGTAAGCCTAATTGAAGTTTGAAAAATGAATTAAGAAATGAGAAGAAAGACCTGGAAGAGAAGTCGTTCAGGCTCGTTGTAGATGAGAGGGATAACACGTGCTCCACCTGCCTCGGCGAACTTCACATACGAAGCCGCGATGTACGTGGAGCTGGTATCGTTGGTCAGCCGACCCGACGCGCCATCGCCAGGGTGGCTCAGAATCCCGATGACCGGCCTGTAGTTCAGGTTCGGATCCGGCGAAGAGCAGACCGGACTCCGTGAACCGTCGACCCCGGTTTGACTAGGGAGGAAAATCGACGCAGACGAGTCGGAAGCTTTGGCCACACCAATATCAAAGAGTAGCAACGGTAAACAGAAGCAGTATCTCCACATCTCTGAGCAAGACGAATGGTCAAGGATTCGCAGTGTTGACGAGGAGAGAGAGAGTGATCTGAGTAAGACTTTTGTATTACGATTTTATTAGCTTCTCAAATCATCCACGCGCACACTTTTCGAAAACCAATCCACCCTTCTTCCTAATTTTTTAAATTATTGGTTAATGCCAGAAACGTGTTTTATGTATTTTATTTTTAATCTGTTTCAAAGTACCTACCTCTCGAAGTGGGCCCCGTTCCTTACTTCTCACGCTACAAACAAGTCTAATTCAACGGCTCAAGAGTTTTACAACATAACAAGTGAATTCGAAGCATACAATCAGATGAATCCAAGTTATGATTTTTGGATTTCCTCAATCAAAACTCAGCAGCATACCCAAAAAAAAAAAAAAATCAAAGCTTTTTAAACTCTCTTGAAGAAGGACATTATATTCCCTTGCTTAGGATCTTTTACGTTCCCGCCTTTCTTGCTTCCTGTTTTTCCTCCTGCGTTTGTGGAGGCCCCATTTCCAATCGCTGGGCTCTTCTTCTGTGCAACCCCCCTGAAACAAGGAACCCGAATGCTTTTTAGATAGTTTAACACAAAATGTTATCTTCCTCTTTTTAACTGGCTATATATATATCATCTCGAATAACATATACATACCTGTTACCAGCATTGGCGTTTTTGCCATCATTTAACTTCTTACTTGTATCAGTCTCCTCTTTCTTCTTCCCGTTCGTTTCTGTCTCCTCCCAGACCACCTCAGTTACTACATGCAGTCAAAATAGAATTGTGTGAGTAATAGACATTGACATTCCAAGCCAGAGCTTGCATTTAGTAAGCTCTTGGCTCGAAGCGATGCATAAGTATACTTGTTTAGGTTACTATATATGCTTAAGCGTGTGCGTTTACCTTCTCTCCCACGATCATCAATCCACGACTTCAAAACTTTCTTCCTTTTCGGAGCATCAGTAATTCTTTCCTTTGAGGGATTGGCCTGGATCTTCTCCATTGACGAAGCCACAGGTTTCTCGTTTTTCCTGACACCACACGTATCATCAGACACAATTTTTTGCCTGTCTTCTTCGCTGGCCTCTGGTTCATCAGTTTTTATCTCTCGAGCTATATCTGCGTCAGGCTTCTCTGCACCTGAATCTTTGGTATTTTGTTCACTATCTGGACATGAATTAATCTTTGGACTACTAGGAGATGCTAAGCTGATAACATCTTCATACTCTTCGTCTGAATAATCAAATATCACCTTCCTTTTTCTGTTATCAGTTTTAGACGCTCTTCTACAATTGACGTCTCGAGTCTCATCATCGCTGCCTCCTTTATTCTTGGGATCGAGGGAAAGTTTTTGGGCTTCTGCACCAAATACAGAACATTTCATAGAGGAACAAAACTAACTAAGGAATAAATGCCAACTCCACACAAGGAGATATTCGAAAAGAAAAAAAAAAAGAGCGGATAGATTAGACGGCAGACCTGAATGATCATGATTTTTGACCTCTATTGTTGCAGAATCATCTTCTGTTTTCACAGGCACACGGCCCCACATATTTTTCAGCGAACCCCCATTTCCAGTCACGCTCTTTTCGCCCTGTCCCTTCTTTTTATTAGCGGGCACAGGAAGGGATTTTTCTTTATCATTGGAAGATTTCACAGACTGGTTTTGAGCTGGAGCAGTAATAGATTCACTTTTAGCCTGATGGTCAACCGTAGGGATTGTTTGCTGAAATCGCTTTCCCTGGTTTGAAGGCACTGTACCCTCTTGACAATTTAAACCACTTTTAGATTGTACTGTAGTTCTTACACTTTCGGTTCGCAGGGCTGTAACATTTGCAGTGGCTCCCTCTATATTACGCTTTACAAAGGCATTGGAGATGCCACAAAACCTGGTACCGAAAAAACATACATCTCTAGTTTAAATGGCAAGGCTGGGTCAACAACACTGGAAAGATTTCATGCAATTACAGAAAAGGTGTACCTGTTGTCTCTCAAGCAATTATCAGTGGCAGAAGGCTGCCTGAAGAGCTCTTCTGCTTGTACAAACTCTGCGTTCCATATGGCAGCTGGATCCATTGGAATACTAGCTTGAACACTGTAGATATGAACTGAATATGTTCCATTGAACTCTTTCTCCACTTCTGCATAGTAGTAATGACAAGGAAGTGTCAAATCGATAAATAGTCTGGTACTTTACATTCAAAACGTTTGCACTTTTGTCATCATTTAGCTTTCTACTTGTAACATTGAAATAAATAAACGGGCAATTGAGATACTACCTTGAACTACAAATAAGGCAGCACATTACTTGTACAACTACTTAGGGAAAACAAAATCGGTAAGATGACAAACCAAAAGACTAGCGAAACAAAACTTCACCATTATAAGCTTATCAGACAGGTGAAACCAACAGGAGACAGCTATAAATTCAAGAGAGCTATCTGTGATAAACAGTGGACTTGCAAAAGAAACCTAATTTCCTTATAAAAAAGACAATCATAAAAGATGGGAATGTGACCTGGAAGTTTGGAACTCGATACAAGTCTAGTGTGGTAATCAGAAGGTCTGTTCTTTGCCCACCCGGATACATTATATACAACTTCCAAATCCTTGCCGTGTTTGTCGACAAAATCCTTAAGCAACCTAATAATAACAAACGAGTCTCGGTTTTTTTAAGACAAAACAGATCTAAAGTAGCCAAAATCTAGTGAACTCGAAATGGTTGGAAATATGTACCTCTTGGCAGTTTTTGATGAAAGCGAGAAATTTCGACTTAGCCATTTGTAAGATACCTGAAAGAAAAGGGATTGAGCGAATCAATTAATATAACTCAAATTGGTTAATTTTACATAACACCTCCGAATCTCGGGACCAAGGAAAAAATCCCACCCCGACACTAATCCAACAATAACAACAACAAACTACAGATAGAATCTTCCGGATTAAAAAAAAAAATAGCCCTATATTGATGAGGATGCAAGGAGAGACGAACGAGTTCTGACTAACTTTAAAACCAGTGAAGTGGAAATCGGAACCCTAATCAGAAAAAGTTAACGAATCGAGAAATGAATTGAGAATACCACTTGAAGCTGATCGGAGACAAGAGACTCGATTTCATCGAGAACATTTAGGGTTTCGGTCTGAGACATCTTTCCGCGTTGCTCTCTTGAATGATTTTCTCAGATTAGGAGATTTTTTTCGAGGCAATGGCTGGCTTTCCCGCCAGACCTTTCGCGGTGCTCTTACTAAAACAAAGGGAATTTCATCGACGTGGGCCCGTGGCAGTCCGTGCCACTCACGTGATCACGCGAGTTGATTTGGGCCGAGAGGCCCACAATGATCTAATTAAAGAGTAATTAATTATAGTTAATCCCCTCTATATATTAGTCTTCACTCGCTCTACTTCACCATCCCATATTTTTCAATTCTCTCTCCAAAATTTGATTCGACGAGAACTCTCTCCAATGGAGAAGCATCAAGAAGAGTTTTCTTTCTCGCCATCCAACGAAACAGAGATGTCTATCTCCGACGATCATATGCCTCCGGCGAAGAAGATTCGTACGAGTCCGAGCCAACAACCGCGAGAGAGCCATCAAGAAGAGTTATCTTCCTCTGCATCCAACGAAACAGAGATGTATATCTCCGACGATCCTATGCCTATGTCTCCGGCGAAGAATATTCGTACGTGTCCGAGCCAACAAACGCTAGAGACCAGTCAAGACTCTTCTCTCTTGCCATCCACGGAACCGGAGATTCTTCTCTTTGGCACTTACATGACTCCAGGGAAGAAGAGTCAGAGGACGATGTGGCAAGAACCGCGAGTGATGTCTGCTTCTCCGATGAACACAGACGAAGAAGACTTGAAGAAGACTACTGATTTATTGGAGAAAGAGGAGGAGCGAAACGTAGTCTCTACGAAACGACCTCTTGTTAAAGCTGTTCCAGTGATCATCAAGAAGATACTGACCGAGAACGACATACGCGGGTACTTTTATCTGAACGAAGGCGACGTCGAGAGCCACATCCTGAGATATCTCTCTGAAGATGACCAAAAGAACAAACTCCGACAAGGTGATGGGATTGACGTTAATGTGTACGACCACGACACGCGCACTACGCATCGGATGCTTCTGGTGAGATCGAAAGCGAACCATCCCCATTATCGTCTAAAGTATAGCTGGTACTTTGATTTTGTCGAGAGGAGAGGTTTGAAGATAGGAGACGAGGTTGAACTCTTCTGGGATTCTAAGTTTCATATTCGGGTGCTTTCTCGTGGAACCGCAGACGGCGAAAACAATGATTAGTCCATCAAATCTCGGGGATATCGATCGGTAGATTTCCTTAGCAGCCTTTCAAGTTATGACTGGATTAAGGGTTTTGTAGTAAAGAGAGGAACTTTTTTTATTATCTTTGTTAAATAGTGATTGGTGTTGCTTATGGTGTTTTGGTAGTCAACTTCTTATGAAAAAATCGTTGTGTTCTACACCAATTTTGTTTCGTTATTGGTTATATATCATCTTTGTATATGTCTGAAGAAGATGGTTAGCACAAAAATTAAATAAAAGATATTTCGCAATAGAAAGCTTTATAGCATAGAGTTGATAGTAGCAAGCAATGGAAAACAAGAATCTGTAAAGCCCTCCTCTGGTTTTGAGCTGTAGAAACTACAGCAACCCGAGAAGCAAAAAACTCTCTGCACTTGGGTGATAATGGTAACACTGGAGCTTGGTCGATGTTCCATGGGGTTTCTATTTTTGCAGCTGTATTCTCTTGTCCCTGATAGGCAGATCAAGCGGCTTCTGCGCCTCGTGGGGATGGTCCGGGCCTTTGTACACCTTCAGGTGATTGAATAGAGCTCTTCCAAGCTGCCACAAAACGGCCAGACCAAGTTAGAGTGAGTCGTAATCATGGTATACAAATACCCTCAAGCTGGAAATGTTCCACGTTGATTGGGACCATAAAAGAGACTGATAAAGAGCTAGGAACTATCTCACTAACCCGTCCCTTTGGAAGCATGCCACGCACAGCATGCTCAATGATTCTTTCTGGAATTCTCTGCTGCAATTGATCAAATGTTTCTACTGTCATACCACCAGGTCGTCCTGAATGCCTCCTGTACAGCTTTTGGTTCCGCTTCTTTCCAGATACAGCTACTTTCTCAGCGTTCACCTTTCAAACAAAATTCCACCGAAATAAAATTAAGTGACAAGTTACAAGCACTGTCCAAACATATACCCAAAGGCTTGGATCTTCCTAAATGATTGTAAATTTCATTGAAACCAGCTCACATCTCAATAAAGCAACAGATCATAGTCAAGAAATTAAGTAAAGCATATCTCGCATTGCATATTCTCTACAGATGGCTCAAGAAGCTCACATACCACGATCACAAAGGCTCCCATGTCGACACTAGGAGTGTAGGAGGCAAGGTTCTTCCCACGGATGTGATTAGCAATCGTTGATGCCAATCTACCAAGAATTTTGTCAGTTGCATCGACCACAAACCAGGGTTTGTCCGTGTTCACGTGGTCCGAAGCTTTTGGATACCATGTCGTGTTCCAGATGTCCTGTAAACCATAGTATACTGTCAGTAAAGCTACAATCCAATGTCTTATAACTTCACCAGAACCCATTCTCCTCCAACCAAAATGAACAAGTAAAAGTTCCCATTTACTGAATTAAGATGAAAAAACATCAATTTCAAATCCATTTGAGTAAAGCGGATACGCATGGATACTTGTACATCTGCAGTCCGAATACAAATCGACTCATGTTTCAAATTTCCAGTATCTTTCTCAAAATTCCAAAGAATTTTCTAAGCAATCGCAGATTTTCGACATTTTATTAAGTATGTTAAGCAGACAAGTTTCAGAGATGTGAATAATAAAAAGCGTTGAAGCTCAAAAGAGGGAGATAGATAGAGAAAATATCGTTACAGGGCCATTTGCTTCTTCTTGGTCGAACATCCATCGCTGATTCGCCGGAACAAGAGAAGTAGTCGCCTGCTCCGCCTCGCACTTCACCTGCAATCCCCTTTTCGCGTTCGCGTAAATGCCGACTCGTACCGACGGCTTCGAGATAGCCGTTAAAGAGAACCCTAGAAACGGTGACTTCCTGTCACTTCCGGAAGGTTTCACCGAAGAAGAAGGGAGTATAACTGTCGAAGACGAACAGAGAACCGCCATTTTTGTTTTCTCTCTTTTGCTAATTCTTCTGCTCTTTCGATTTCTCGGATAAGATTGGGTTCTTCTGTAAATAACAGTGGTGTGACTGTAAATAAACTCATCTCTAGGACCGGAAATTTAATATTAAACGGGTTGAGGATCCGGTTTGTTAGGAGCTCCGGATCCAGCCCAAAACGCTGATCTCTTTCTCGTTTCCTTTTTTTTTTCCTCTCAGGTCTTCGAAAGCAAGCAAAGTGTATACCTTATGGCTTCGATTTCGTCAACTCTACTGTTAAATTCTAGATTAGTTTTACCTCTGAGATTCCCGAAATTCTCGGGATTTTCTTCTCCCTCTCCATTCGCTAGATCCTGCCGATTTGGTCATCGTAATCTGGAATCCCTTTCAAACGGAATTCTTTCGCCGGGAAACAGAGCCGACGGTGCTATGGCGGCTACATCGATGCAAGGGGTGGTGACGGAGGCGATGAATCTTATCCAATCGGCGTCACCTACCTGGAAATCCGCCGTGGCTAACAATTTATTGATTTTTGTTCTCGGTTCACCGCTTCTTGTTACCGGATTGTCCGCTTCTGGGATCGCCGCCGCATTCTTGCTCGGTACTCTAACTTGGCGGGCTTATGGCTCTGCTGGATTTCTCTTAGTCGCTGCTTACTTCGTCATAGTAAGTGCACTTGTAATCAACTTGACCGTAATTTGGTCGCTGACTCTTAAAACGTAGAAATTCGCTAATTTGATTTTGATTTCGAGCAGATGAATGAAGAATGTCCGTATATTTTAGTTGATTTTACTAGTTGTTGGAATTTTAGATGCGTTAGAGATCCCGGATCACATTTGAAGACATAATGAAATGGTGTTATAGGATTTCAAGATATAAAAAGAAAAATTCTCTTGATTGAGCTTAGAGTTGATTCTTCGTTTTGAAAATGTACTGGGGTTTTGGGAGACGTTGGTCGATAAATTGTTATTCCTGTTAGGAGAGCTTTGGAGTTAGGCACTTTCCTTGTCTCTGTAGATTGAAATTTGAGATTAAGGAGCTAGTTCGTCTGATCACGCTTAAAATTGTGATAATGCGTCTCTACTCTATAAATTTTCCTTGTACTTTAGATTTCAATATCGTGTTTCATCGACCGAGAGCTGGAAAGAGTACCACTAAATTTGCAATTGATATCTGGCCTTGACGTTGGTTTAGATGATTTACAATATCACAGGGAACAGCGGCAACAAAGGTTAAGATGTCGGAAAAGGAAGCACAAGGCGTTGCCGAGAAGAAAAAAGGTAGAAGAGGACCACGAAGTGTGATTGGTTCAAGTGCTGCTGGTTGTGTCTGTGCTTTTCTTTCGATATATCAAGTGGGAGGAGCAGCTTTTTCTCAGCTTTTCCGGCTTGGTTTTGTTTCCAGCTTCTGCACTAAAGTGTCTGACACTGTCTCGAGCGAGATTGGGAAAGCTTACGGAAAAACAACGTGAGTATGCTACTGTTATTCAGCTATGGCCTCTTCTGTAAATTTGCGTTTTTTTTTTGGAACGAGTAGCTAGTTTTGGGTCTGTTTTTTTGTTGAAGGTGTGTCAGTGGACCTGCAATGTCATAGCGTGAATCCAGTTAACTGCTGAAATGATCTGCATGCATTCTGTTCTATTACTAATTGGTGAAAATTTGCAGGTATTTAGCCACAACACTTAAGATTGTACCAAGAGGAACCGAGGGAGCAATGAGTGTTGAAGGAACATTGGCTGGACTTTTAGCATCATTTTTTCTTGCATCTGTTGGCTGTTTCCTGGGTCAGGTACTAGATGTTATATAATATTTTATTGAGCAACATGGAACCTTCTACGTTATTTGCTTTAAAAACTTCCCTTTTCACATCTCCTCTATGTTGATGAAGACGTTTTCGTAACTTAATTTTATCTTCATTTGTTGTTGCTGGGAATAGTTCGTATAGACACCCCTCATGTAGTGACTGCCTTTATCATAGCGCCAACCGCTGGATGAAAGTAATCATAAATTTGAGTGCACATATAGTAAGAGTCGTAGACTTGCACAAGAATGAAAAGCTGGATACGTATATTTATTTTTCTGAGTGCACATTTTTCAACTGAACATGCATGTCATTGTTCATTGTTAGATTTTCATGGAAATTTTGCTCTGAACTACTGTGTAATTTGCAAGTTTCTCTTCCTTTTGGTCTCTCGAGCACAGATAACTCCTCCAGAAGCAGCTGTATGTGTACTAGCTTCTCAGATTGCTAATCTTGGAGAGAGCATAATAGGTGCATCTTTTCAAGACAAGGAGGGATTCAAATGGGTATGCTCACTTCAGTTCATTTTTTTCTTGTCTTATTGCTTTTGCTCTGTCCGCTTATTGTCAATGCAAGAAAATGAATCAAATGATAATCAGATGAAAATTCCGTCGCTCCTGACAGCAAGATTGATTGAAAAAAACAATTCCCAATTCATAAATTTTCGTTTGAGCTCTCGTCTTTTGAAGCCAATTTTTGCAATTAGCTACCTACAAAACAACAATGCAATATGAGTTCTCGTTTTGTGCATTCTCGATCCTTTCTATCTGCTGAGACCCTCTTATTTGTGTGACCATTTGGCTATTTTGTAGCTGAACAATGATGTAGTGAACGTGATCAACATAAGCTTGGGAAGCATCGTGGCGATTTTGATGCAGCAGTTTATACTCCAGAATTGGGTCAAGTAAAACCTGTAACAAAGGTCATGGCTTCTCAGTAAGGTTAGATGTATTGATATGAACAATCATATTTATTCTATTATGTGTAAATACACTATGTTATGTAACAATAGTACCACAACAATTAGGGAAATTATATTTGTCGAACCCTTGTCTAACAATTAGCGATACTATGTCTTTGCATTTGATTCGCGTTTGAGATTCTCCTGTAGATAGTGAAACCTGTCAAAATCTCAGTTCTCCTGCCTCAATAGTTCTTCTGATTGGGATCAATTCTCTTGATCACTTAGGAACTCAAGAAAAATCAAATTAAATTTCTGAAAATGTAACGAAAAAGCTGTAACAAAAAGACAACAAAAAAGGAACGAGAGTTGGTTGACAAGAAGAAAAAAAGAGTCGTGATTCTCTCGAAGACATTCCTTTTTAATTGTCATTTTAGATGTCGTCGACCTGTCAACTTTCTCTTTTCTTTTTGCCATATTCTGTAGTCATTTAGAACCCTCCAGAGAGTAAGCATCGACTGTGACGTTGCTAGATTTATAGGGCCGTTACTTTAAGAGTTTTAGAAACGTGAGTTTGATTTGTTCGACCAAAACAGAAACGTGATGAGGAGTGAAGACAATTACGATGCGTTACTTCTACGAACCTGTGGTCCAGAAATAAGATACGACAATGGCCCATGGGCCGTGACATCCAATACACAGCTGACAAATCACACGCGCTTCTCAAACGCGTGAATTTTACCCTCTAATATTTACACCGCCGCAAATTTCGCTTCTACTCGAGTCAAATATCCGTCTCACCTCAACAGTCACGAGTGTAGGACTCGGGTTACTATTGATAATTATTGGAACATAATGAAACTGTGAGAATTTCAGAAAGTTTAGGCTTAGTTTCAATTTCCGGTTTCTCACAGACACAATGTATATAGAGTATAGAGAAAAAAAATCGATTGTATAACATTCGTGTGGTTAAGGAGAGAACATCAGAAATTTCTACACAACATGACCCTCTCTAATATGGTTTAGTGGCTCCATAATCGCAAATTTCGAAATTTTAACTTTCTCTTTCAAGGAACTTTTCTTTTACAAAAATATTAAACAACTACTTTTCCAACTCAACACAATATTCGTCGTTTGTTAGTGATTCACCATCAGACATGTGACGTATGTACATTCCACACAGACCTAACTATTATATAATGACCAAAAATAGAATTATTATAACTTTAAAATATTTGCTAGAATCAACAAAAGGAAATACTAAACAACAGTAGTTTATTTGACGAGCTTACAAGTAGATAGTTTACCTAAAGTTTTGACGGAAAACAAAAAAAGAAAGAAAAAAAAACAGCCGATTAATTAAAAGTTGTTCTCGAACTTTGCGAGGTTTGGTATAAAGAGAAGATGCGTTGTGAGTGTGTCGTCCAAATTTCAAAGTGATGACTGATGACTGATGATGATGTTGCTGTGTGTGGTAGCGATTGGCTAAAACGCGTCATACCTTAATAAGATAAATTTAATTTCCTCATTGTGTCTCGTCTCTCTCTCTCTCTCACAGTTATCACTAGCTTTGATCTCAAATAAAAAGCGTTTTCTCTTCTAGCTTTCCCAGTTACCCATAAGTGTTAAAAAAAGAAAGTTTTTTGCTTTCTCCTTTCTAATCGGTGGTGTGTACGCTAAGTCGCTAAACCCATCAAAAATTCGCTGTATTTTCTTCTTTTTTTCGATAAATCATGGGCGTTGATTCGACTGACCGGCGAGAAGTAATCCTCAAAATCGCTGATGAGAACGGAAGCAGCAATGGAGTCTCCGGAGAGACAACAGGCAAGATATGGAGAGACGGAAGTTACGATTTTTGGACTGACGGAGAAGGTAACCTCCATAAAGGGTTTAATGCGGCTGCTGATTTCGAGAGATCCTCCGCCACCACCGCGTCCGAGGACGACAACAAAGTTGACGCTGATGCTTTTGAATTCCGACGCGGCGAGGATCCAACTACGAAGCTAATTGGTCAGTTTCTGCATAAACAGCAAGCTTCCGGCGAGATTTCTCTTGATATGGACTTAGGTATGGACGAGCTTCAGTCCAGGGGTTTAACTCCGGTTTTGGAATCTCCGGCGTCGGCGAGACCTTCTTCGTCTGGAGCCACCACCAAACCCGACGGCGTGGGAAGACGAGACAGCCGCAGCAACAACAACGCCGACGGAGAAGTTGTCAAGTGTAGTGGAAACGCTCCGATTCAGAGAAACTCTACCAATTTGCTTAAGATGCGAACTAGGTCACGGCTTTCGGATCCGCCTACACCGAAGCCTCCGTTGCCACCACAAGCGGCGGAGATGAAATCGGGTCGGATTCCGAAATCGGGGCAGTTGAAATCAGGGTTTTTCGGGAAAAGCCCTAGGAATCAAGGAGAGGACGAAGAAGATGATCCATTTGCAGCAGAGGATTTACCAGAAGAGTACAGGAAAGATAAACTTAGTCTATGGATTGTATTGGAATGGTTGAGCTTGATTTTGATAATCGCTGCTTTGATTTGCACACTTGCGATACCTTTCTTGCGCAAGAAGATACTCTGGGATCTTCAGCTATGGAAATGGGAAACAATGGTTTTAGTGTTGATCTGTGGCAGATTAGTCTCTAGTTGGATCGTTAAGATAGTCGTCTTCTTCATCGAAAGGAACTTCCTTTTGAGGAAAAGGGTTTTGTACTTTGTTTACGGTATCCGAAAGGCTGTGCAGAATTGCTTATGGTTAGGACTTGTTTTACTCGCTTGGCATTTCTTGTTCGATGATAAAGTGGCTAAAGCAGCAAACACCAAGGCGCTTCGTGTTGTGACTAAGATCTTTGTGTGTTTGTTGGTTGGGTTCTTGTTGTGGCTCGTCAAGACACTGTTGGTTAAGGTTCTTGCTTCCTCGTTCCATATGAGCACTTACTTCGATAGGATTCAAGAGTCTTTGTTTACTCAGTACGTGATTGAGACGCTCTCAGGTCCTCCTCTGATTGAGATCCAAAGAAACGAGGAAGAAGAAGAGAGAATCAGCGTCGAGGTTAAGAAGTTTCAGAATCCCGGTGGTGTTGAGACTACATCAGGGGCTCAGAAAAGTCCTGTGGTAATCGGGAAAAGCCCGTTTCTCTCTCGCGTTCTCTCTGATGGAGGAGGAGGAGGGGACAAAAATGGGATTACGATTGATAGCCTTCACAAGCTGAATCCTAAGAATGTCTCAGCGTGGAAAATGAAGAGGCTGATGAATATAATCCGGCATGGATCACTTACCACTTTAGATGAACAGCTACAAGATTCGAACTTGGATGATGATAAAGGAAACCAAATCAGAAGTGAGTTTGAGGCAAAGCTCGCTGCGAGAAAGATCTTTCACAATGTCGCCAAGCCGGGATCAAAGTAAGTTTAACTCAATCTCTTTAACATCCAAGGCCTTAGCCATATCACATTACGGATATTAACCAGTAGCAATGTTTAGGTTCATCTACTCAAAGGACATTTCGAGGTTTCTGCCAGAAGACGAAGCTTTGAAGACTTTAAGTCTATTTGAAGGAGCATGTGAGACGAATCGGATCAGCAAATCATCTCTTAAAAACTGGGTGGTAAGAAGTTTGGATGATGAATTTTACATTCTTTTAATGTATTATTCCTAATGAATATTTGCACAAACATTTTTTCACAGGTGAATGCTTTCAGAGAGAGAAGAGCTCTTGCGTTGACCTTAAACGACACCAAAACAGCAGTGAACAGGCTTCACAAGATGGTGAATATCGTAGTTGGGATCATCATAGTCATTATCTGGCTTATCATACTTGGAATCACTAACACCAGATTCCTCGTGGTCATGAGCTCGCAAGTCGTGGTTGTCGCATTCATATTTGGAAACATGTGCAAGATAGTATTCGAATCTATCATCTACTTGTTTGTGATACACCCGTTTGATGTGGGCGATAGATGTGAAATCGACGGTGTCCAGGTAAATTATAAAACTTGTCAGTTCTCGATATGGTAATGTCAAAGAAAAACTCATTTTGGTTTCTTTCTTTTTTCTCCAGATGGTTGTGGAAGAGATGAACATATTGACAACTGTGTTCTTGAGGTTTGATAACCAGAAAGTCGTGTACCCGAACAGTCTTCTCTGGCTCAGATCCATTGGAAACTATTACCGTAGCCCTGATATGGGAGATGGAATCGAATTCTCTGTCCACATTGCTACACCACCTGAGAAAATGATGCTCATCAAACAGAGAATCACAAGGTACATTGCAAATTTTGTTGGAATCACAACTTTTACATGAATGATTGATTATACATATTCATTACCTGCATTCATTATGACAGTTACATCGAAGGGAAGAAGGATCATTGGTATCCGGCGCCGATGATAGTGTTCAAAGACATGGAGTCATTGAACAGTGTGAGGATTGCGGTTTGGCCAACGCATCGAATGAATCATCAAGATATGGGAGAGAAATGGGCTCGAAGATCTCAACTTGTTGAAGAGATTGCCAAGATTTGCAGAGAGCTTGACATTGAGTACCGATTGTATCCTATCGACATCAATGTCAGAACTATGCCCACTCCTCCTGGTTTGCCTGTTTCCGACCGTCTTCCACCTCATTGGACAACTCCTGCTTCTGGCAGCAACTGAAACTTTATATACAGTTAGGATCACGAGGGTGCTGTTTTTCTCTCTCTTTTTTTTTTTGCTTTTGTTTTTCCACACACCACTGATTTAGAATTTACGAAATGATCTACTTGATGACTACATTTACTCGACATTAATGTGATAATCGGTTCTATTAATCCGCATAGTGTTTTGGCTTATGGTGCTTTTTATCCATACTTTGTTAACAATTCTAAATTTTTTGGCTACTCATGTTATTCTATAAAAAGCCAAATTGATAGTTTAATGATTCTAATCCTTAAACAAATAAATATCTCTTCTCAAACGACCTTCTTTACTATTTTTTTATATAACAATTAACAAAGAACATTCAACTTTTGTTTTTATCTAACAAAGAGCATTCAACTTTTGTTTTTATCTAACAAAGAACATTCAACTTTTGTTTTTATCTAACAAGGAACATTCAACTTTCAGTCATAGACCAACGACAGTACAGTACACCAGTTTCCAAATCATTTTAATGATCTCACATCTACTATCAGACCGGCCGATGGTTTTCCTAAACCGGGCAAAAGATAGTTGTTAGAACCTTCGCCGCCGTTTCCCAACCCTCTGGTAGTGGTTAGGGGATGAACCGGTATAAGGAGTTGAAGAAGATATGTCCGGAACAAACACTGAGTGATGGTGATGTTTGGGCCAGTTGAGACCAGAAGCTGTTGGTGGAGAATGAATCTGTGGAACCGCCCATGATGTCTCACCTCCCAAGCAGTTATTGTTATCTTCTCCATCGTCTTCTCCAGATCTCATCATCGAAGAACTGTCTGAATCTCCTCGTCTACTAGTATCCGCCTGCAAAACCATGGATTTTTTTACATAATGAGAAACCAAAAAAAGATGAATCAAAAAGCCAAATGATTCACAAAACTTCTTTTCAAGTCCTTCCCAAGATGATCAATCTTCACTTATATACACACACAAAAAAAAAAACTAAATTGTTACCTTAGATGATCCGTTATTCTCCATGTATTCATAACTCTGATCAAAGTCCGTTAATCCAAAAATCTCCTCTAGCTGCCACTGAGGAATGCTTCCAGTCGCTGATCCGCTGCTTGCGAAAGGAAGCTTTGTCGAAATGTGATCACTTACTTTAGTTTCTGGTAAAACCACCTCATGATGATGATGATGATTGAAGTCCATCTTTTGAGGCTCAGATGAAGGTAGAGCAAATGGTTTCGTCTCCATGGCTTTATCATCATTGGATGGTGATGACTTTGTAGACGGACCAGCGTCTGTAGATTCAAGACCGACTCTGATTCCAGTCAGAAGAAATCGCTGGTGAGCTGAAACATGTGGATTTACGGTATGGATTGCAACATCACATTTCCTACATAGTAACGCTCTATCTTGCAGACAGAAGAAGAATCCAGAAGCTTCCTGTCAAAATTCATAAATTCAAATAAAATAAATAAAAGAGCATATTTTAAGGGAATTGCAAACAAAAACAAAGAAGCAAAATAACGATCGAACTGGTTTAAGGTCTTTCTAGAACCTAAAAAGATTCAAGCTTTTCATTACAAACAAAAAAAAGCCTAAAAATTGAGGATTTTAAAACAGGGGAGATCAGATTAAAGATTAGACTTAAATAAAGGATTTAGAGGGAAAATAAAGAGATCAGAACCTGGCAAATGTCGCATTTGGGAATGGAAGAGGAAGAGACAGAGAGAGGGACTCTCTGGTGTTTTCCGGCGAGTTTATTAGCGGCGTGAACTTTCTCATCGCAAGCCCAACACAACGCAGCCTCATCGGCGCAACATAAAACCGTCGCTTCCGCCGCCTCGCAAACGTTGCACTGAATCTTCATCCTCTCTGACCTTTCGTTATCTCCAAATTCATCCAGAAACCAAACCTATCCTCTCTTTGTTTTTGAAAGATTTAATTTTTTCGCTTCTTGATTTCTGTCGGAGACTTGATTGTTGATAAAAAAAATTTAAGAAAGAGAAGTGGAGTCAGTTTTGTCTCCACAAGCCTGAGATTTATGGTTTAAGCAACCTTTACGTTTTCCCCTCCCTTTGTCTGAAGGAGAATTTTTTTTCTTTTTCTCAAAATGAAATATATAACTTTCTGACTTAACAAAATTACAAACTACTAATCTGTGTTTTTAGATTTCTAGATAAGTCGCTGGGGGAAAATATCATATACAGTACAATAATAAATTGTGGCGGTAGGAGGATTTCTTTTCAATTAAAATGAAAATAGGTTCTTTGTGCACCATTTATAAGTGGTGGGGTAGAATACGAAATACTGTATTGAGGTGTTAAAAGCGGGCGATATTTTTCTAGGCTGATGAGTGAACGACGGAAAGCCACGTGGCAATCTACAGACAAATGTCTTAATTACAGGAGACCAACTCTGCTGTGTCGAGCTGTAATGGTATTCAAAAGATCGCAGATTTTTTTGTTTGCTTGAAACTGCGCGCGTGTGGATACGCGCAACCAGTAACTCCTACATCACTTGAATTTTCTTTTCTTCTTAAAACTCACATACTGAATTCTTTTAGGTCAAAATTTTTTAAAATATATTTTGTATTGAAATGGTGAGGTCGATAATATGTAATATTAACCCCAACAAATGGACATGAACAAACATAGAGGGCATTTAGAAGAAGTATTCTGTGTACAGATCCATTACAATTTGCTTTAATTTTCTCACGGTCTCGTTTTATTTTTTAAGAACAAAACAAATTATAAGATGAAAGTGACATATCTGTTATACGGAAAATATCTATCTAGTTTCAGACGACAGTCTACTTCGTTTTCACCACTTTTAGGAATAGCGTATTTATTTATTCATTTTTTTTCTCAAAATTTGTCCGATTCATGCATTATATATCTCATTCTCTCTTAGTGGCGTAACAGCTGGCTTTTTTGGTAAATTATGGACACAATTTTATTGTCGTCTTTTTCTTATTATCATGTTAGTTCTAGATAATCAGAAATCCGAGTAGTATACCGAAAGAATAGGGTGTAGAGATTTTGGATCGGTACTAGGTACGTGAGGTCAGTTACCTGTAAGTGTTGTATTTACCTCCTGTGTGAGGTTCTTATAGATTTTATCTCCCCTTTATAAAATTACGTGAACGGTTTGTACCCTGTATTGGATTGTTTTCTTTAAGTCTAATATAGTGAAACTTTTTTTGAACAAGAAGTCTAATATAGTGAAAGTTGAGGACAAAAAAAAAGTCAAGATTATACTACAATGATAGCGAAATGTTCTATAGAACCTTTGTATTTTTAAAATTGGTTACAAAAAAAGAAATGTTTTATAGAAAAATATCCTATTATATAAATAATATATAGTATATCAAGATTATATTAATCCACGTATGGTTACGGGTGGAAGAGGAGGATTCGGGCCTACGCGAGACAAGATTTTTTCTTTTCTCAACAACACAAGCCATAAACAAGTTAATTAACAGACAGAACACTAATCAATCAATCATTAATAAGGTCCCATTTTGAAAAAGATATTTCCCAAAATTAACAGTTCGCACGGGAATATTGATTTCGATATTATTTTTCTTATAATATATTATATGCAAGAGGATCATATACATCCACGTTACTGGTTCAACAAAAGAGAGCGCTACTTGAATTAAACTTCTTCAAAAAGTACTGAAGATTCAAGAATCAACGAATCTTTCCGACCAAAGAGTCTTACCACATCTATAGACAAGTGGGTTCAAAGGGTCTCTCAATATACCAACCCTAATTTTATGAACAAATCTACCAAACCTAGTAGCTTGATCTGATCTGAGTAAAGCCCTTGGACAAGAAAACGTTTAAGACCGGCGCATCAGACGATATCTCGATTTTGTCACCGAGCTGCACGTTGTAACAAACCTGACAACCGTCGATGTAGATAGTTCCTTGGTCTGAATACCAGTTAACATCCATGGATTGGTCCGGTTTGAAGGCTGAATGCATTTGAGTGGCGGTTGAACCGGGAGAGATGGGCTCTCTAACCATAAACTGTAGATCACGAGACATCATTGGCATCACGAACCCACCTGCTGACAGCATTGCTGCGGTTGAACCAGCAGCTGTGCAGACTCTTAGACCGCTTGAGCGGCAGTTCACTGTCTTTTGACTGGTATCACCATCTTTGTTCTTGATCCTGCGCACGTTGTAAAGATCATTGGTTCATAGTGCTGAACAATACATATGTTTTAACCAAATCAAGGAAAAGATTAACCAATTAGGATTTGTTTTTCCATATCCGAAGAAATTGTACCTTTAGCCGAACCAAACTGAATGGAATAAAACAGTTAAAACCTCATGATATTCAGTTTCCATTTTGGTTTTCTATATTTCACCAATTCTAAAGAAAAGCAGGATTGAGCATCCCAAGTTGAACTCTTGGCCGCAAACAACTCAATCAAAATGAAACAGAGAGGGATAATGTCTACATAAAACAATCAGCTTTCAAAAAATTTATACTTTTTGATTCTAAGAAGTTCTTACTTGAACGAGAACCTTGAAACCGCGGCAGGGCATGGGTGTGCGATCAAAACGTCATTAAGTGCGTGTGAAAGAAGAGGTTCTGAATTTAACTTCAATGATATTCTCGATACTTTTGAAGGAACTACTCTGCCTAACAAAATGTCATCCAGTACCTGAGAACAAATAGCTGAATGTTCAAACCAAAATTGCGTAGGCATTGAATGTTACTAAGGATACCAGTAAGACGACCACAAATGGGCTGCCAGAATTTTTCCCTTTCTATCAAACTTACCTGTTCAAAATTCTCAACTGTTGCAGCACAAAGATGACCAGTGCTTCTACTAGCGTCAAACTGATCACTCAGTTCTTCCACCTATAGTTATAACAAAACACTAAGCTTCTTTTCACATACTTACTAAAAGCTAATTCTTCCATTAATCAGGTGATATGAGACTAAAAAACCTCGTGAGCTTGGGTTGGGTCAGAATTAACTCCTAAAACGGGAACAGAATCATCGATGAAATGACTGGCGTGCAAGAGGGTGCCATCTCCACCAACGGTGATGACCATATCCACATCGTGAATGGGATGCGATAAGTCATTACGTGAAATGGGTTTCCATTCGACTGGCTTCTTTCTTAGAATTTCCTGACAAAAGTTTATAGCATTCCTGTGTACTTTGCACCTGCTTTCTAGATATTGAAGAACCTAAACAAACAAACAAAAACTGAGTCAACAATGTAAGAAGCCATGAAATACAATTTAAAAATATATATATAGCAAGGATAGTTTCCGAGTGGGTAAGAAACACAGGGCTACGCATTTCTTCTATTTTCAAATTTGATAAGAAACTAAGATTGTGCTCACGCCATTAAGATTGAAATAAAACTGGAAAGTTTGATCTGTCGCATTTCTTAGTTACAAACTTGTATTAAAAGAAGGAGGGGCTTAATACTCACCAAAAAAATGAAAAAAAAAAAAATGGAAACTTTTAACAAGAAGGAAGCAGAAGGCTTTGCATTTAATACAAACGAGGTTAACACCCAAAAAGGGTTTCTTTTAACGAGAAAAGGGTCTTATTCTCTTAGGAATTTTGTCGAACAACTTGAATACGAAACGAAATAGGCGTGATCCGGCTAGAGAATTTCTAAAACGTAGATGAGACGCAGTGAGGAAGGTAATACCTGAGGGCTTTTAATGAACGATACACCTTCTGTTTGAAGGAATGGGTACGGATCAATCGGTTTCAGTAGAAGCAGAAGCTTTCTAATCGCCATTCTTCCTCAATCAATCAAGCAGTCAATCTCTATATATATATATATATTTGTATGTATATACACGTCGCCTTTCTTCTATCTTCGTTTCTCTCTCTAATCCTCGGCGCTGCGCCAACCGGACTAGAGTAAACCACGTCTGAAGATTTTGACCGACCTCTTCCATAGACACTCTGACTGTTTAAGAGGGTCTTTACTTGGGAAGAAATGTTGAAAGCTTTAGGCCCAACTCACATTCTACCAAACTGGCCTCGCCACAAAATCGGCCCGATTTAATTCCATTAAACTGACCCAATAATCGTTATTGAACCACTAAACTGGCTCTTGGTATAATAAACTCTATTTCCGCACTTCCATCTTTTTTAAAAAAAAAAATTGTAGTTAATTTGAATTTTTTTTAAGGATTTTATGTTTCTTGTATACGAGCATTGAAGATTTAAAATTTTGAATTTTAGATTGTGTGTATTCAAACGCTTGAGAAAGTTTGGATATTAGTTAAATGTAATTGTATGAATTTGGATTTGGACAACATATCGAGTTAACTGAATCGGTACTATTCGGATATTTTTAAAATCCGGTCCCAACGTAATGCATCTCAGGAAACAACCCTTAGTAGGATCAGATCCTCCGAATCGAGTGGCAGTCCTTTAAAGATTGTCCGGTCTAGAATCTGATCTAAAAGTGGGGTTAGTTTTGAGATCGTACCGAACCGGTTATTCTCCACGTGTTTTGATATTGGTGGTACCGCGTATAGTGGCCAACCAAACCTATGAATCTGACCTCGAAATATCCGAATTCACGTGATCGTCTCTGATTTGGCCAAATTTAGTAAGCTACTGTACTAGATCTCTAATTGAACAACCTAAGACATATCGTATAGTTCGTCCAAATATATAGGTTTTTTAAAAATCATATATGACTTGAATGGGACAAAAGTAAATAATGTTCTGAGATAAGAAAACCACCAAACATAATACAGACAAATTATGGTGGATTGTACACGTACAACATAAAATTCCCTTAAGGAACAAACAAAAATTTACATATAGATATAATTCCAATGACCTCAATCCATATGATCTCTCAATTATATAGAAGTTTTTTAAAAATATCTCAATCCATATATTCTTATGATTCATCTCAGTGTTAATATTCTAAGATTATCTTGTAATTTACGTAGCTAGGATTCGATTTATAATATATATATATATATATATATATATGTCTGCTCTGTATATTTTGATTTTTGAGCGACCTCCTCCATAGTTTTTTTTTTAAAAAAATTGATTATATAATTCTTCTTATACAAACCTCTCATCATATTGTCAAATTATATGGCTTTACGGATATTATTTTTAATTAGCAATTGTATAACGTTACTTGAGTCGTTAGCAGGCAAATAACTAAACACTCCATGTAGTAATATATGTGCATGAAAAAATTAATATTACATTCTCCGAATTAATCGGTGGATTTGTGCAATTTGAATTACTGTTGTAATTAAAAAAATCTTTATAAATGTAAATGTGATCAGATTCCACATCAAAAATAATCTTTATAAATATAAAAAAATCTTTGTAAATGTAAATGTACAGGCCAAGGACAATTCGCTTTACCGAATTTGTGATAAAAATGGAAATGTTTGCCTGTCAGACTTATTCGCCAAACCACTCCAAGTGGCGAAACTATCTTTGTTTTTGTGTTTTTGTGTTTTTTTTTTTGGTAAAATTGTTTTTGTGTTATGCTCAAGCGTTTTGGAATAATTAATTAGGTAACCCTATATAAGAATATCAAACCAAATTATGATGATTTAACCACTCCAAGTGGCGAAACCATCTTTGTTTTTGTGTTGTGCTCAAGCATTTTGGACTAATTAATTAGGTAACCCTATATAGGAATCTCAAACCAAATTATGATGATTTAACTCGTAGTGCTTCTGAATGATCTGTCCGATAAAAATCTTCAGAAGCTGGCAAGCAATATCATCTTTTTCGTTTTTGTTTTTGTTAGGAAAGGAGGCAAAAAAAAAAGTTGTAAGAAGTAGAGTAATAATTTAAAGCTAACACTACGTGCATGGAAAGATCAAACTACAAACAGTGACCAATCTCTAATCTTTATCTTTTTTTAGCGCGTGGGGTACAGTCTCCTCAGCAATTGATCATCGTTTTTGAATATTGCTTTCTAAAACCAAATCAATTTGTAATCACATATTTCTCCATCACATAGTTATATCAAAATTAATCCAAATACAAAGGTCAAATCTTCACACTAGTAAAAAAAAATCGTATAGCCACTGAACATTTCGTGGCTAAGACATAATTTCCGTGACTATATCATCATATAGCTACAGAGAGTCACGAAAATAAATCGTGTCTATAGAATCGTGACTAATTTTTTTGTGGCTTTTCGTATCTATTTAGTCACGATTTAGACACAGTATTTTTGTAGCTGATTTAGTTACGAAAAAGCCACACAATGATCGTTGTGGCTATATAGCGAGTGTTTATTTCGTTGTTATTGTGTGGGTAAAATTGCCACGATATTCATATGACTAAACCGTGGCTAAGTGACTAGCCATGAAATTGTCGTGACTATGTTTGTGACTTTTAATTTCGTGGCTAAACTCTAAAGCTACGAAAATATCACATTACCTTATATGGCTAATCTTAAATTAGGCAAAAAAAAAAAAAAAAAAAAAATAAAACCTGATATCTTGAATTTGAAATTCCAATATCATACATATACATTATGAAAGGTTATACAAAAGATCTAATCATACATTAGCAAAAGATTTATAAAGTTAAAAGTCTTACAAAAGATGCAAACTTTAACTTAAAAAGCATTAACACACCACTAATCTAAGTTAGACTATTGTGCTTGGGTAGTAGGAGAAGGTTCAGTAGTAGCAGGAACCGAAAGTTGGAGAGTAGTGATATTATCACCGAGATACTTTAGGATTGCATTTAGTGTAGCTCTTTGGTCCATCATATCTGCCTTAAAGTCATTCTTCAGCTCCACCATGTTGTCTTTGAGTGTTATCATGTCAGATTTGAGCTCTTGAACATTGTTGTTGACAGCTTCATGATGAGTCTCCAAACCAGATATGCGTATCTCTGTGTCAAGGTTGCGTTTAAGAGAAGCAGGGAAGGTTCAGATGGAGTGATATCCCTGTCTTGTACACTACCAATTCCATAAATACGCCCTCTAGTAGTTAGACCTCGCTGTGTCAAAAGAAAAAACCAAATGAGCTTCATTTAAGACGAAGAAAAGTAAAAACCGCTTAAGTCCTAGTTTTTATTTTCTTTTGCTAATGCAACGTTTCCATTAAGAACTATTTGAAGTCAAGCATTGAATATCTAAAATCAAATCCAATATGCACACAAACTCATTCCTTCAAATCAACAATAAGGAGATACATAATTAATCAACAAACAGCAAAAAAATTCATATTCTTGGTTGAGCTGTAATACAATAATGAAAGAATAAGTGAGATTTTCCAAGTACCTTGAGATATTCTTGGTTGAGCTTAATGCGTGAAGTAGCAGCTGTTGAGGCATTGGGAGATCCATCATCAGTTGTCATCTATGTAACAGCTTCCTCTACTTCAAGCACAATGGACTCAGCTCAGGCATCAATAAAAGTTCCATCTTTGCGTGTGTGTCTTCCACACAAGCGCTGTGTAAGGTGATGGTTCAGCAGAACCAGACTCAATCATCTGCAAAAACAAAGGAAAAATGAAGGATAAAAAAAGATATGACAGATTAAAAACTAAAATAGAAAAAAAGTAAAACAATTACCATATCATACTCAATCTTTCCAAAATGAACTGGACTAGCGAAATAAAATAAAACAAGATATTTTAGTTAAGTAATCTAAATTCAAACCAAACTCAATTGACATAACCCAAATTAACTGCATATCGAAGAATTATCTATCAAATATGAAACACATAAAAATTGCTGTCAAATGACAAATCTGAACCAAAAGTGAAGGAAACCAAATCATCAGCTTTTTTTACCCTGGTCGAACTTTTCTAGATCACACGATCTGCTTAAGTGATTAATATATCAATTTGGCCATCCAAACTTGAAACTCAAAACAGTTATTACTGTTTGAAAAATAAAACTTGTCTTACTATATATGTATTATATTAATGGAACCTTGGGGTATATGGTCCTTATGAAACAATCTATTTAAATCTGTTAATTATTTGATTTAGAATAGTGCTTAACTTTCAATAAATATCAAGAGTACAAAAGAAAACACAATTTACTCAACTGACTACGGCGGAACTACCGGTCAATGGTCATTTCTGAACTCTCGACTTATGAAAAACAGTAGACTTAAATGAATAAAATGTTGATGATGACGACAACCCAAAAAAGCCATAAATATGTTAATTAAGAAAAGCAAAATAAAAGTTTAGCAAAAAGTGATCCATGCGACCACGAGAAGCATCTTTAATTTATTACATTTCTCAAGTTAGAATCTATGGGAAATTATTTCTAAGCACTTTACAAGTTGCAGCCTTTGTAAAAGATTCGATGTATTATTGCAAACTATTTTAATTGACGATCTAAACCTCAGTCCTCTGAAACGGAATTTCGTCTGCACTGTATCTTCACTCACACACGTTGACGCAAGTCACGCAGTCAGATTTTATATAATATAAACAAATATATAAACCGTGTGTAAGCATAAACCCAAAAGACTTATTAAAAAAAACGTTAAAGAGTTAGATCGTTTTGAGATTGGAGACACTGGATTTATATCGACGGTACGGATCGTATGCAAACGCTTCAGGTCTCGAAGTTCTTGATCTATATCTATTTAGATAATCTATTCTCTGATATTGTCTTTATAATGGTGTTCTTCTTTTAGGCAGTTGGTTCTCGATCGATGATTAGATTCTGTCATTTACTTTTTGTAAAGTTTTTGGTATATAAGTTTTCGATTTATGCAGCTTTGTAATTTCTTTGGTTATTAGAATATAAATTATTGGTTAATAATTATAAAACAATAATAATCTAATGATAAGAACGTCAATAACAGCAATAGCTACATAAAATAATCATCGATTAATTAGTGATTATATTGGGATGAGTCAGATGATACCCATGAAGAAAAAGTTATATATACGCTGACGTAAAGG